CAGTCGAACGCTTCGATTCCTACTCTGATTCCCAGCCAGAGCTCAAATCAGATACGGACTGCGACGTGGAGCGCGTGCTGCCAAATGGTAAAGGCGAAGGCGAGCGAAACCACAATTTGAATTTAATTAATTGTCCGCTGGGTTGGGCACAAATCATTTCTTGAATGAATGAATCTCTGCTGGCGCTCCCCGCATAGCCCTCAGAGTCTTATCGGCGCATCGGTTGGAAATGAACGCGATTAAGGCGATTCTCGATTGCAGAGAAAGGCGTGACCCACATTAGATGCTGCTTAAGCCCTAAATAGCAGCTTCTAATTGAGATATTTAGTGTTGCTCCAGATCACACACTCAATCATCGGCTACGACTTTGAGGCTCGACAACTTTCATGTTGCGATCGAGCCAATCAGCAACAAAAACTGAGCATAAAATTGACTTTTATGCCTTCTTTTCTAGCCGAACTGAAACACAGACACAGACTACGACAGCGACTGCGAAAGTCTAATATCATTATGGGACACAAGATATAATAACAAAAGAAAACACAACAATAGCAACAACACTAAAGCTGGCCATGACGACCGAAAGCTATGTAGAAGAAAAATAATCGTAAAAGTGAGAGTTTCCACTTCATAATCATTTTTTCGAGTTTCAGATTCGACTCTGTTTTTGAATACCCTTTTGTCAGAAAGTGCATGTAAAAGGGTGGATAATATATAAAGCTTGGGACTTGTTGGGATTCTTAGGCTTTAGATACTAAAATGTTTGCATCAGCAATCTTGAAAGTAATATTAAGTAGATTATAATGCTTATTTCATATTATATTTTTAAATAATTACGGGGTATGTGCTTGTATATGTTACATATACTAGAGAATATCTGCTAGTAATATGTTCTACTAAGTTCCCATTTCTGAACCTCTTATTATTTTACAGAGTATCTACTTATCGCATACATAATTAGTCATCTTACCGTCTATATATCTGGGGCATCTGCAAGTTGATCTTCTAGTTTTATCAATTCAGTTCACTAAGCTCATGCCACAGAGTATCTACTAGTCGTTCATTTATCTAATCTCATTTTCTTATAAATAATTCAGCTTTTACCCATGTCAAACCTACATTAAAGAGTATCTAGAAGTCGCTCATTTCGTTTAGTTTCGTCGCATTTGGAGATTCCAAGAAAACTTGAAGCGACCCAGCGCAGAAATGCAAATCTCTGACGCCCTATTGTGCAGCCATGCCCACATTGTGTAATGTCAGCCGAGCTGCGAAATGAAGAAGCGAAAGCCAACGACAAAAGTAGTGGGCAAGCTGGCAAGCAGCTGGGCGTGGCAGCTGGCCGCTCTGCTTTTAATTGCACAGGTTTCACTTTCAAGGCATTTCATTTCATTAAAAAAATTGTCGTTATCTTTATGATCAGCATTCACACACACACTCGAAGACATATCAAAAGTGGCATTTCACTTTCGGTTTGTTGTTAACAAAGTTGCGTTTGTTCTTTTGTTGGCCAAATGAGCCGCTAGCTCAGCGGGCTCTTTTATGGCGCGCTCTGCCGACGGAGATCGAAACACAGCTGGACAGTTGCTCATTGTCATTGTCAACGACATTATGATCAGTGCAATCATTATGATCCGAGTGATCACTATTGATCATTAGCAGCTATATACGTTCATTTATGCGTTTTGTACATTCGTTAATTTGTTGACAATAAAAGTGCCAAACTGACAACTTTCACACATCTATCGACGCACAACGAACTCTTTAACTGTGTGTGTGCGCGTGTGTGTGTGTATGTCGAGTGTTGTCCGAACAGCTGCTCTTTACACTGCACTACGCACTATTTGTATTTGTACAAATATTGAATTATCGCTGCTCGTATTATTCAATGTCACCTGGAGCATATTCAATTAATGCTGGCTGGCTAATAGTCGGCGCATATTGCAACACTTTCACACACGCTGCTGCTGCCTCTGCCGCTGCAGCACCTGGCTGCCTGTGCAGTGAAATGGCCAGCATTTCAAAGCCAAATCCGTAAAGTGTGCATTGACCCATGCCCAAGCACTAACCGCAAACCGGAAAAGCGCACGGGGCACTGAGTAGCAGCAACACCAGCAACAACACCCAACAGCAACAGCAACGACAGCAACAATAACAACGTCAACCACAACAGCAACTGTAGCACTCTTCGGCTGTGGTTTATTACTGCCTTTGTGCAGTTGTTTAGACCATAAAAGGCCATAACAAAGTCGCACGTGCAGCGCATTCCAAACGTTGAGCCTCAAACCATTTTTTGGTCGAAAGCTTTTTAGCCCAGCAGCCGCAGCAGCAGAAGTGCTGGCAGCTGCGACTTAAACCACCACCTGAAGCCACCACATAAAAACTAGTTAACAGCGGTTTATGCGGTGCGTCTGTTAACGTAGACCGCAACAAATCGTGGTCTACTTTTTAGCTGCCCGCCGAGCGAAGCCTGGTGAAAGCCGCGCTCAGTTGTGCTTTAAATATTTGCTAAGCTTTAAGCTGTGTCTTGGCTGAAGCACCCTTTGTGAAGCGTGCTTTAAGGCTTAGCTGGAAATTTGCCAGCTTCTTTGTGTGCTTTAATATGCGATATGTGGCTACAGGTTTTGTGCGCCCGAGGATTGACAACATATTTAAAAGCAATTTGTATCAATTAAACCAATTCAAAATTGATTCAATTTTAGTATATAAAATATTTAACAAATCAATTAAAAATATAATTCAAGCAAATTGAAGTGGAGGCATTCTATAGAGCAAATCAATAAAAACAATAAAAATAATCATAAATTAAGTTTGATTAGTTTTTCGGTTGCTTGATAACTTTTGATAGTTCATATTCAAATTGTGCAATAGTTAAAACCCTAAACACATTGAGAATGGGTTAAGCAGCTATGACAGGTAAGTCGATATAAATGAAACAATGAGCTCTTCTACTGTGGGAATAATGACAGAATACTTATTGAAAAAAAAAACTATTATTTTGATGTATATATGATTTTTTTATGTTTATTCATAATTTATATAAATAGTTTTCCTTTTTTCAAGAGGTTATTGGAATTGCCTTTTTGGACACACTTTCACTTTCAATTGCCTCAGCAGCTGCAGCAGACGTCGAACACTCCAGAATGGCTCTGTGGTTGTATGATGCTGACAATGGTAAATGACGCCGTTAACTTGTCCCACAATGTCAATCGATTTGAGGCGTGGCAACAGCACAAGTTTCACTCGAACAAAGTCACGCAGTTAACTGGAAGAAATAGCGCGACAAACGGCAGCAGCAAATTGTAAAAAAAATTGTTAAATGCTACGCAAATATAACAGCTAGCGATAAGATGGCCCAAATGATCAGCAAGAAACAGAGAGAGAGGGAGGGAGAGCGAGAGAGGGGAAAAGAATCGCTAAATGCTCAAAAGGCAGACGCAGAGTCGGCGACACATTAATTGCCGGCATTTGTCGGAAGAAAGCCAAGTTAAGAGGCGACTGTCGGTAAACGGCACGTAAATCAGCCGTTGAGGGCAATGGCAAGCTCACAGCATCAGCGTTTAGACATCAGCCATCAGCCATCAGCCATCAGCCATCAGCCGTCAGCCATCGGACATCAGCCATGGGCCAAGTGCGCAGCCTCTTAACTGGGTCATATTCATAAGTAAAGCGCCCAGTACTAACAGCAGCAGCAGTTGGCCCTAACTGTTGCCGTTGCCAGTTGCCAGTTGCAGTTAACCAAAGTTGCTCGAACCGCTTGATGCTTCTTCACTTACTTTTTTTTTATTTTATTTTGGGAACTTTCTTCAAATTGTTGTTTAGCAGCAGACAACAATGCTTGGGCGAGAATATAAAAGACCGACAGGTGCAAAATATGCGTCTATTGTTGTGGCTGTTGTTGTAGTTGTTGCATTGTAGCTGCCCCCGTTCGGCTAACGCCTATTGAGTGAGCCCCGAAATGTTTGTTTTATTTTTTAGCAAATTGCTTTGTTGTATTCTGGCAACGATTAAGAGAGAGAGAGATGGAGAGACGGTCGAGGAAAGTGCAATGAAAATGAAGATTCACAAATATATATATATATATTTATACATTTAAGTGGGTGAAATTTGTAGAAAGCATCTTTGTTGGTTTTTGGGGCTGATAACAAAGAATGAAATGAAACGAAATGAAATGAAAGTGGAGGCCCAAGCAAATGCAAATTGTTAGCAGACAATGATGCGTATGAGTGATGCCTGCAATTTAAGTTGAATGGGCGAATAGTCAGAAAGGGGCATTGTTAAATGAAAGATATTTTCCAGTTTGTTGATATTTTTCGGAATTATTATTTGATTCTTTGATGTAGCAGCATTTGTTAAGATTTTCCTTTTCGGTAAGAGCAGGAAAACACAGTTTGAGTATGAGATACAGATACAGATAGAGAGATAGACAGATAGTTACAGATACAGGTACAGATTGAGATACAGAGAAGTAGATAGATAGATAGATAGATAGATAGATAGACAGATTGATGATAGATAGCAAACAGCGACAGTTAGCTTAGGCGACTGCCTTTGATTTATGGGCGCGACTAGTTCAAAGCATTTTGTGCACATAAATCAAAGCACAGCCGTGAAAATACAGTTAAGATAGTATGATATAGTGTCTTGAGTGCAGAGTGAAATTAGGTTGGGCGGTGTAGAAGCTGGGTGTTGGCTGTTGTTGTTTGTGTGTAAAGATGAAAAGTGAAGTTAAGTGTTGTTGTTGTTGTTGATGTTGTTCTTATTCATGTTGTTGTGTGTGTGTATGGAGTTGTTGTTCGACTGTCTCTCGTCTCTGAGAGATTACATGTGGAAGGCACTTAATTGGTTGAGGGCCATGCCGGCCCTGCTCTCGTTCACGTTTTTAGGTAAATAAATTAAAATAAATAATTTATAAATAAATATAAATATAGACATTAATGGTCATCAGTTTGTTTTTTGAGCAGTTTCGTTAGCGAATTTTCCTTCTTGTGACCATGGTTTATTTACCGCCTGGCCTGCTTGTAGCCCTGGTAGGCGATGGTCTGGGCGACTGGTGCGCTGTAGGCACCGTGCGAGTCCCAGCCGGAGTTGCCGCCCGAGGACCAGCCACCGCTGGAAGCACCGCCGCCTGAGGACCAGCCACCGGAGCTGACAGCAGCGGAGCCGGAGTTCTTGCCACCGAACAGACCACCCAGACCGCCGAGCAGACCACCGCCGCCGCCGCCAGAGCCGCCCAGGCGACCTAGACCGCTTGAGGCACCAGCAGCCAGAGCCAGGAAGAAGGCAATCACGGAAACAATCAGAGCCTTCTTGGCCATGAAGAGCAGACCAAAGATGGCGCCAACGGCGAGCACGGCAACCTTAGCACCAACACCCAGAAGGATGGGCAGGAACTTCTTCAACAGCTTCTTCTTGCGGGTACGCGACTCAACAACCAGCTCACGGAGATCGGCCTTGATGTCATCGGGAATGGCACGGGCAACGCTGCGGGCGGCATTGGCAAAGTTGAAGTTCAGAGAGCGCTCGGACAAGAAGCTCTTGGCATTGTCCATGAAATAGTTGCCCATCTCGGCGGTGCGTGCCTCGACAGTGGGTGCGGCCTCAACGGCAAGGGAGTTGTCCAACGATTTGCCCTGGCGTCCTTCATTGGCCTTGACCAGAGAGACACCGCCGAAGAGTTCGATTTGGGGATTTTCAAAGATGGACTTGGCCTTGCGGAAGAGCTGCAGAGAGAAAGAGAGACACGAAGAGAGAGAGAGAGAGAGAGAGAGGGGAAGCACAAATTAGCGAGGGTTGTTCAATTGGTTCACAAACTACGACTAAATATTTGGCAATTATTAACAATTATTGCTCATATTCCAAATGAGTGTGATTGGCGCACTTTCACTTTTGCCAGCGCATCCTTTGCACTTGTTATGTAACAAATATATGTATATATATGTTTGTATTTTTGCATGTCTTTAGAAGACTTTCACTTGCAGGTTCATTGATCAATCTTGCCGATGATATCATTTTCACTTTCACTTTGATTGATGATTATATATATATAATTTATTTTTTGTTCAAGTTCTTGTGTAATATGTTTAATCCTTGTTAGTTAATCCGTACCGTGAGCTGCAGACACGAGATGGAATCAGCTTCCAGGCATTTTGCAAATGCGCCGGGCTGTTCGTCGGTGGCGGCTGCCGCCTTAACAGGATCGGCCGAGATGCCGGATGCCAAAAGCAGGACACAAGCGGTGGCAACGAAGAACTTCATGGTTGTATATTTTTTGTTTTGAACTAAACTGAATTTCTTAAGCACCACCGAATTCACTGGTGTGTTCATTCGAATGGAACAAGCTGCGGTTTGATAACTTTTCGACTCTGTCAGGCTGTTTTTAAAGAGTTTTCAACCTAACGGACGCCTCGCCGCGGCATAACGTAAAATTATGTAAAAAGTGCACACACACACACTCACGGACGGAGAGAGGAGAGCGACCCAGCATTGGGCTCAAGCAGCGACGCCGACAGCGCAGACGCAAATATGTATAAGAGGGCCGCATAGCCGCTCCCTACACGTGCGGGCCGCGAGAGAGCGACGCAGCAGCAGCAGCAACAGCAACAGCATCTCAGCTCTTAGAAGACACATTAGGTGAGCAGCGACGCCAACGCAAAATGCTCACGCGCTTTTGTATGCTGTTGTTGCTGCTGCTGCCGCTGCTTCCGCATTAAAGAAAGTCAACAGCGAAGGCGACTGCGCAAGGGCTTGACGCAGCGTCGCGGCGTCGGCGCAGAGTGTGAGCGCGCGAGAAAGTTGCGTCTGCAGGCAGGCAGAAGAGCGTACATGAGCAAGCGCCAAGGTTGTCTGTCGTTGGCCAGGGCTGCCTCGCTCACACACACACACGCATAAGCATGCCTGCAGCCTCCGTTATTTCTCGCTCTCTCCCTCTCTCACACACACTCACACATATACGTAGGCAGAGAGTACGTTGGCTGTAGCATTCTTCGTTGAGTTATTGTTATTGTTATTGCTTTTCGCGTAAACTGTTGTTGTTGCAGTTGAAGCTACACAGATTACAACACATGAGGTGATAAACAGGTGCGCAGCTCAACCCTCCAGCCCCGCTCCTAAACTCTCCCCCCCAACATATGTAGCAGTCGCAACTAGTGTGCCATATTCTTCTTCAACCTTTGTTCATTTTGAACGCTTTTTGTTGTTGCTTTCGGCTGATTTTGGCCGCAAGAAATGAAAGTTGTGTGTATTATAATGTATTTTCATACTACTGTTACTCAGCTGCCCCTTGCTCCGTGCCCCTTCTCCAACTGACCCTGCCACTGCCTCTGCACCTTGCCCCTCTTCAGCTGGACTCATCTGCCCCGGGGCAGCAGGTCAGGTGGGCGTGTGGTTTACATTTTTTGTGCTTATCGCATGTGCGCGCCTTGAAATTACTTTTCATATTCGTGACTTCATAGTTGTTGTGGCTGGCTGCTCTTATTATTATTATTATTATTATTATTATTATGTAACATAAAACTACGATTTGTATCACAAAATGATATAATTAAATTCAGCACACTGAGTGCTAGGGGTTAGTGGGTGTGGCCTAGATCAAATAGTAATTATATATGTACGTTTGCAAAGGGTCAGGTCATAAAGAGTGAAAAGCAATCAAGTGATAAGCACGTTCTGCTAAGGGCAGGTGAAAATCGCCACACTCGCCCCGTCGCCTCTGCCTCACTTAGCTAACAATTAAATAGGAAAAAAGCGGCGACTGACTTTGCAATTGTGACACATTAGTCAACAATTTGAGCTCAGCAAAAGTGCAAATAAGCGCGCGCTTCAATTGCTCAAGTGAAATGAAAGAGAAATTACACGAAAAGCAAACAAAAACGGATATGAGCTCCGTCCGTCCGAGATGTGCGATAAATGATGATGGTCTAGCGAGACGGCGATGGCGTTGGCAATGGAGCTAGAGATGGATGATGTATGGGTTGCGTGGCCTGCCGTCAAAGCCATATTCACGCTCTGAGCACGCCGTTTAGCAGAAAATAAAAAAAACTAAGAGTCAACTATTGTTGGGGCCTATACTTTTTTGCACCGTCCTCCATTTCCATTTCCATTTCCATTTCAAGGTGAATGCGTGTTGAGATATGCGACACCCTTAGGCACTATCAACTGTCAGGCGGATCTGTGACTTATGAAACGGACGACTGAATCATTGTCATTATGCGGCATATTCGATGAGTGGCCGGCCACAGGGCGTATGAGTAATTCGTAATGCGTTACCACAATTTAATCAGCTTTCGTTGCAATAAGTGTGTGACGTCAATTGGTGTAACGGTAAAAACAGTGTACAAAACTCTCAAATTGCTCGACAAATACCTGAAACACATTTCGTAACCAAAGACACATTAAAAACGGGGCGCAGCACCGGCACTGCGCTCTGCCGCTGGGGAGAAAAGCAACGCAAATCGGTTCATCTACCATGTTGAAATTTCGATTTTCACCGGTCTGCAATCTCGACACACATTCAAATGCAAATGAGTTCAGCCACACACAAAGTTCCACACACACACACACACACTAACACCTGCACATCCGTTTACTCTAAATTATGTTGGTCCACGCACTGAACGCCATCAATCTGCCATGTGCCAACATGGCCAACAGTTAAAGCCATCAGCCATAAGCCGTAAGCTTTAAGCCAGGGCCATTCATGCGAAAAGCAGCCGGCCAAGTGTCGAGCGTCACTTTATGAATGAATTTCGCCGCAGTTGCAAAAGGCGTTGCCGTCCGCTCGACAGCTGCCACACGGGCTTCACTACTGCGGCAAGTGCCCAATGGCCAATGTCCGTCCAATGGCCAATGCAGTGCAAAGCAAACATATTGCCAAATGGCTTAACGCTCAACAAGAAATGGCCATAAATTTTCTGTCTGCAGCAGCACATTACATCAGCTATTACACGCACACGCATACATGCACACACACACACATAAGCACACACACATACTCGCGCACACTCACACATTTGGTAGCCGCAGCTATTTTTCGATTCACAGTTTCAGTCATTTATCAGTCGAAAGGATATTAAAATAAAAGCCATTTTGCAAATGAATTTGAGAGATCATTCTTTATCGTTAAATCCTGAATTATAAAATGCATTTATTCATATGCCTAACATATCTGTCATACGAAATGCCAGCCAATTGCTGAGCTCAAAATATTTTCTTATTTAATTGATTAATTTATCTCTTCGATGAAATAACAAAATCTTTTGTCTTTTCACTTTGACTAATTTTTATTTGTTCAAATTTATTGTTTATTTCATCTCTGCTTTCCACACACTTGGCATGCAAGTGCATACTGTTTCAGTATGCTTCACTTGAATGTATGGTTATGTTTTCTATGGATTAAAATTTGAAATATGAATCCTATTAAAAAGAGTTGATTTTATTATACGAAGGTTGCAGTCGGACGCTATCGACTACATAATACTCATTCACTTTCCACACAGTTTTTGTATCATGAAAGTATTAACACTTTATAAGAAGCGCGTGTCCACGAGCATATATTCTCAGTTTCAAGTCTACAGCTTCAAAAGCAAACAAATTGAAGGAGACAAGATGAATATTGCACAAAAGCAATATACTCTTTCCCATCGTGAATGAGTATAAAAATAGTTAAAAGCAAACTGGCTAGCATGCTATGCTTAATTAGAGTCTATTTAAAAATCTAAAAAAAAATATATATAATTGCAGCTAAATGTCTTTCCTTCTTGTGTGTTTATTTATGTATTTTACCTGTATGACAATTTGCTTCAAACTAAAGATTCCTTTTAATTTTATGGTAGAGGCGCTCTTCATTGCAAGTTAAGTATCTCTGGAGTCTTGCCAAAAAGGAATTCGTAATCTGTTAAGGACGCTCCTGTGGTACGTTGAAAAGCAGATATTTTGCTTTTTCATTTTCGAACTACATTCTTGATGAACATAAGAGTCTGTTTGCCAATGCAAAGTGCTTCTCTGGGGCTACTTAAAATTTCTTATTGAAGTTTTCTGCTGTGGGCAACATGAAAACAATTGCTGACAGCATTTATAAAATGTACTTAAACAAATGCTATAGTTTTTTATAAAAATTATTTTATTTAAAATAAAATATTGTATAAATTAAAGCTATCAAATATATAACGGAATAACTGACTAACTGAATTGAATTAATTTCTTTGTACAAATTAGCAATTCCCTTCTATGAAATAAAGACCACTAAAGAAAAATAAATAATAAAAAAAAAGTTTTTTAACATTTTTTATTTTTTCTTTAAAATACGTTAAGTATCTGATATTTTTTAATATCGACATCAATTGTCAAGTGAGAAAGCTTTTAGCTTTTTAATTTTTATTAATATATATACACATATATAAATATATATATATATATATATATATATATATGCATGTGCAGTTATTGTGAATCAGATGAAAATATGTGACACTTAATTTCTCATTTGTGATATATGCTGATAGTATCTGAATAGTTAAGCTAGTTATTTATGGATAGGGGCCTGGATAGCATCTTTACTGGTGTACTCTCTTCGCTGTTCTCACTTTCATTTCGCTTGGCTTCGTTTTGGACCGCAGAGTCATTTGTCAGGTGACGGAACGACGTGGTTCGATGGTTATTTTTTATTTTTTTTTTGTATTTTACAGTTTTTGGCTCTTGCTGTTTCAACAAAGTATTTGAATTAAATTAAAGTTAAAATGTGTTTTTGGATGAGAAAGTTTTTTTTTTACATTTGGCTTTTTGTGTTGTTTGCTTAATTTGCATAAGCAACAAAAGCGACTGTTAGAAACGGGGAAAATCTTTGCATTAGTAAACTCTTGCGACTAATTAGAAAAGATTTTCGTTTCAGTTGGCGTCGATGTTTATCGGCGGGGGCAAGAGGCTGTTAAGCTAACGGTACCGTTAATGTACCGTGTGTTGGCCAAATGACAGCGGCTGCGGCAGCGACAACGGCCGAAACTGAAGCAGCGACAGCGGCAGCGAAAGACAAGGGCAGGTAAATAGTTTCAGGTGCGATCCAATCGGTATCACAATTTCTCATTACTGACATCTTTCTTCAGTATTTTGCCAATCAATTGCCACATTGTGCGTATGTGTGTGTGAGTGTCCAGACGGCAGAAATATTTCTGATTTCTTGTTGGTTTTGCATTAAATTTTTGTGCCATTTGTTATTGAGGCCTCATGCAAAAAATATTTCTTTTGCGCCATGTAGGTGTGTTTATATAAATAACAACAGCAACAACAACAACAACAATAATAATAAACACGGCTACCAGAACAACAACAAGAGTAACCAAAAAAGAAGAAAAAGAAGAAGCAAAGCAACAAGAGCGAGGAGCAGCAACAATAGCAGAAGCAAAAATTTAATGAATAAATAACAACAATTTCTCGGAGAAAGTCGTGGTCAGAAGTAAGCCATATACAGCAGCCATAGCATCGGATACACAATACCAAACAACAGATACAGATACTAAAAACACACAAAGATACAATTTGCATTCAGATGCCCCACAAAACAAAAAAAATCCAAAATTTTTAGCTGAAATCGCGTCCAAAGCTATTGTTGATGCTTCCATTGCGGAACTATTCAATAATGGAAAGTGAAATGGAATATGATGCAATAAGGGACTTGCGGAGTTCTACAAAACACTATGAATTATATAAAAAAGTTCAGATTTTATATTTAGAATTTGATAGAAATTTATATAAAAAGCAAAAGCAAAGTTTATAGGTTTAAAAATTAATTAAAAATTAAATGCTCTTTTATTGAAGTTGCAGAATGAAATATAGATATATGTTCTGTACCTATCTAATATTTTATACCCCAAACATATACCAGCCTTCTAATATAACCTATGCTGCAACTTAGCTACCAACTAAATGGCAGAACAATATTTTTAGTAATTCGAAAAAATTTTCAATTTGATCAAAAACAAATATGCAAAATAATTTCTTTTTTTCCTTAACTGGTTATCATATAAAGTAAACTCAATAGCCTTTAGCATATCGAACAAAAATATTTGTAGCAAAGGCAATGTTTATACTGCAAACTAAATTGGTTCAGGCGAAACAAAGTAAGGAATATTTTCATTAAAATCCCATTACGGACCAAAAAAAACCACATCAAAGCAACTATATGCCTTATAAATATGTAATTAAAGAAGAAAATTTCACAAGCCATAAACTTGGTTGGTAAACTTTAATCTTATTCGCCTTTTGCGTTCGTTTGAATTGTAAGTAAATTTGCATAATAATAAAAAAATATTTATAAAGGCTAAAAAGACAACAAAACTGACCGACCTGATGCTGTGACAACAGACGTTCAGCGACGTTCCGTATAAAGAATTTGCGGTATTTGGGTTAAAAATTAATTTACATGTGAAACGGGCAGCAGCAGCAGCAGCTCAGCCGCTACAGCTGTTCATCAGCAGGTGGGCTGAGCAGTAGGACGGGGGTTAGCTTGTGGCAGCAGGAGGGGGTCATCATTGAAAAGTGAAATTTGTGGAAGCTGCGTCTGAAATGTAGGCTGCGTGACACTTTCAGTTAGCTTGGACGGTTCGGCTCTCGGTCATTTTCCAAGCTCATCGAACGACGATTAATCAGCTAATTTCTTTATGAACTTTCATTTATGCAGCAGCAGCACCGGCAACAGCAGCAGTAGCAGAGACAGAGACAAGAGCAGAGCAACGGTAGAGGCAGAGGCAGAGGCAGAGGCAGAGACAGTGGCTGAGGCAGCAGCCGCATTCAGACACGTTGCCTTCATCTGTTGAGAGACTCTTGTATTTTAATTGTCAACTGTGTTTGGCTGGCAGATTATGTGCAATAAAAAATCAAAAAACCGAAATTTAGAAAATCAATTTGGATTTCATTTCACTTGACGTCTTGGTCGAAGCGGGAACTTCCATAAAAGCGACAGCAGCTACCGCGTAATCGTATATCATATATGTATATATGTCTATCATATCACATCATATTTATATATAGATACAAATGTTATAAACAAACAAATTCACTTTTTATGAACTTATTTTATAATTTAATTATGCGACGGAGACGCTAAACTGCAGCCGACGCCTGGCCAAAGTCGAACTCGACTTGGCTCGAAATGCGAACGCGTTAAAAGCCGTTTAAAAGGGAAAGTTAACAGCGGCCACAGTTGAAGCCGCGCTTGAAGCCACAGTCTGAGCCACAGCCAGTGCCAAGGTTCGTGGTGCGAGGTAGAGCATGTTGCGCTCTTAAAGATATCCCTGCTGTGAGCTTAACGGGTTTTTCAAGTGCCCCAGCCCAGCCCAGCCCGGCCCGGACCAGACCGGACCGGACCGGCCCGGCCCGGCCTGACTTTAATTGATATTGTGTAACAGAACGCAGCGTGGCCAAAATAAATGTAGGTCTCTCTCATGGTAGTAATTTGTTGATTTTTTGTTGTTGCTGTTGTTGCCCGTGGCAGACAGTTGTTGTTGTTGCTGTGGTTGTGCTGCTGCCGTTGCTGCCGCTGGTGATCTCCAAAAAGAACCGTTGCGCTGCCAAAATAGAGTGAAAGTTGCCCGGCCAACCCGGCCTGTATGCAAATCGAATTAACCAAATTCACCAGAAATCCAAATCCAGATGAAATCTGAGACGCCGCCCAGAATGCAGCTAAAACCTTGTTATGGCATGCGCATCTGTTGCAGCTAAAACAGATAACACATCATACAAAGACTAACTGACAAATTAATGACAAAAAGACAAACAATAAACATGACAAAAAGAAGCGTTTCAAGTGGCATGCCGACTATTGAATGCTCTAAGAAATTAAAACTTATTGGAGGAGAGTAGAGAGTAGAAGCGAGAGGTATAAAAATTCTGGCATGAAGCCTAGCTGGCATAATGAAAGCCTACGATCTAACTGCGCGAAGGGGCTAAATATGGAATACTTGAATTTTGAGGAATAATTTTAAAAATCTTCTATTCATTGATAAACACAAGATGGAAAATGAATTAGGCGCCGTCTGAGGAAAAGTCTTTTTCTAACAGAAGCTATCTCTTTTTAGCTGTAATGCCTCATTTCTTTTTTAGGATACTAGCAACAGGATCAATCTAAGAATTGGACCGGGAATGTCATACAGCAATTTATAAATGCAAAGTTCAACCAGCAGACAAAATGATTATACCTCGCGAAAGGGTGTTAAGGCAAGCACAGCCAGAGTTGAAGTGTGGCTGCTGTGAATAGGTTGACTGCTGAATGTAGTTGTTGCTGCTGGCAACACAATGCGAGCTGAACTAAAATAAACTTTCACCAATTTCATAAAGCGAAGAGCAGCAGCAGCCGCAGCCGCAGCAGCCGCAGTCGCAGCTGAAGTAAACAAGACAAAGCCATGTTGCGACAGTGGCAGCAACGAGTGTTAAACAAAGAACCAACAGGCAGCGCATTCAGTGGCAGCTGGCGATTGCCCCTGCTTAGAGTAATTAAAAGAGGTTCCCCATTTGATGCACATAAATTAAATAATAAATTAAATCGATATAAATTAGTTAAAGCTACAAATACAAAACAAATACTGATGCACATTCATTTGAAGCTCAGCGCTGCCAAGCCCTGTAAGCCAAACGATGCTGCTGCTGCTGCTCTTGGACAATGTTTGTGGCACGACGGCGTCGCTTGTGATGATGGCCCTCGCCGGTAACATAGGAGATGCTGTGGCTGCTCTCGTGACCCTGCTGGGAGGCTGCTTTGAGCCCCAGAATGCCGGCCATCATGAGTGCTACCATGGCCACGCCCAACGCCTTCATGGCCAGAGCTCCGATGCCGCCCAGGCCCAGCACAGCCATCATTTTGCCAAACATCAGTGCCATGGCCAGCAGCAGGCCCTGTCCTTTGTCCTTTTTGCGTGCCTCTGCGTAATCGAAAGAAAAAAAATTGAAATAACATTGGAATTTATGAGTCCGAGTCGATGACAAAGCATAACTCTGCGTGTTTCGCGTCTAGACCTTGGCTCTGTGAGAAATAACTGCCTATTGTCTGCCATATTTAGTATGGCCAGGATACTAAAGGATCCAGTTACTGATGTAAATGGGAATTGAAAAAATGAAACATAGTGCAGAGTCTCATCGATTACTTACGCCTTGGGACTTTAAGAGCTGAAACTGAACTTTTCCTCATATGAATATATAGTGAATTCCGATCCGTTAAAAAAAACTTTTTATCAGTTATCCCACTTTATGTCTCGGAGCAGAGCTTCACTCAGCTGACAGTTGAAATATATGTATTCTATGAACTGATTTTACTGCGGCGCTTGGAATATTTAATAACACCCACAGCAAGTGGATGAAAGTTAGTTCTTAAGTTGGTAAACACTTCTGCAACTTTTTGGACAAATTTTTGTGGCACGGTTTTGAGGAAATACCGAAAACTTAATGGCAACAAGTGTCATAATCCCATTACCAACTTTTCCGGCAAATTGAACAGAAAATGCAAATCATTTGCCCCACTTTACGTACAGCCCACCCACCTGCCACTGTTGCGCCACTGGGACTGGACTCGTCCAGCAAGTCGGCCAGCTTCAGGTTGAGCTCGTGCGTGCGTAGATACGTCGACAGGCTGTCCAGCAATGTGGCATCCGCATCCGCATCGGTGGCTGCCGTCGGTGGCGCCTCCACCTCATTGGGCAGTGGCACTATCTCCAGACCACGCATTATCACCAGGGGCTTTTCACTCTTGCTCAGATTCCGCAGCACATTCCGCATGGCGCGCTCGCCGCGACAGAGCAGCGTGGCGGGATCCTTGCTGCAGTTGTCCAGCTGGGCGCTGGCCAGGCACAGCAGGCAGAGCAGGCACAGTGGCGTGGAGTAGAGTGGAGGACACATGTCGCTCGAGTGTCGTTTGCGTATCAACTAAAGGCCTTGACAATGCCATGGTCATATTTTATAGCTAACTATTCTGAGGCGCTTTCCCAAGGCCAGGCCAAGGCATTCAAGCGAATTGTCACAATTGAATCGAAACAGAAGCTAAAAATAACATAAAACAATAGCTTCGAAAATATATTTAAGTTTAAATGCTTTCTGTTTGCGTTGCGTTTTTCGCGTTTGCATTGCAATTTTCTTCTTCAGTGGCCGCTGCAATTTTCAATTTTCAACGGTCAGTTGGCCAGACAGTTGGTCGTGTGTTTCGCTTCGCTGCGTCGGCCACTTCGCATGGCCCGAAGCCTCAGAAAAAAATAAAATGAATTTAAAGCATAGCTCCCCACTCTCAAGATCTCGAAATTATACTAATTAGTGCTACTCAAAGTGCTACAGGTTTGTTCCTAACGCACACCTTACAGATTACAATGTGGTTCACACAATTGTCTACCAACTGGGCCTAAACAGCTCTATTAGCCCTCTGTAACATGCGTGTCCCCATGCCCGGCTAGAAAAGCGAAAGTTAGCTCAAATTTTGATTGCTTTGTCGAATGCGTCTCGAAAAACGTCTTTAAGCTGTTTAATAGTTTTTGTTTTGTTTTGTTTTTTTTACATAAACCAAAAGCAAATTTGAACCCATGGCGACCTCTTTTATACCCTGAACCTCTTGCAACTGCATGTACAAAGTGGGGCCTCATGGTTTCATGCCAATCTATGCAACAGTCAGAAGGAGTCTTTAATGCTTTTACTAAACCTTAGCAGTCTTATGCATCTGTCGATAGCTGTATTGGTTTTCGTTTAAAGTTTGAGTGAAAGCTATTTAAAATTGGAATTGTAACCTAGTAGTACATACAATTAGAAGTCCGTGATCAAGTTACATATTAAATGATCGATTATATTCATAATTTCGATAAGTATCGATTTTAGCTCATGTGTATTTAAAACAAGTGCAGAGCTGCAATAAATAGAGAGGGAACAAGGTTCTAAGAGAAAATTTGAACAACTGCAAAAGCTACTAAGGGTAGCTTTTAGTTTAATCACAAAGTAATTTTATTTTTATTTCGCCATAGTGCGCCGTCCAGTGCTCCCCATGGCTGAGCTGTCCGCCCTGTACTGCGATAAGCTTCTTCGGATCTATCGCATGCGTTTCGTAAGCTGACTAACACCTTTCGACTATTTTGTAATAGTGCACAATGTATTAATCAAATTGACGTGACTCCAGCTACAATATTCCATCAAAAGAAATCAGCATCATTATCATCATTATTATGATGACGATCGTCGGCAGCATCGAATGATGATCGACGTAGCTATTCACAAAAAGCAATAACTTTCACTCTCGATGTATTAATTTTTATATTTAACATATTGTTGTTCACACACACATACACACACATGCTTTATATTACGGGAAATTTGTAGCTACTCAAAAAAAAGTACATATATATATATACGTATTGTATCCGCAATAAAAACAAGTCAAGTCGAAACGTTATTGAACTGCGCTCGAGCCTCGCCGCATGTGAAGTCAACCAAAATTGATCTGAACTCGTTACGTTTGGCTTTTTTTTGTTGACGTTGACGGCAATAAAAAGAAAGTATCTACCAGCCACTCATCTACCCAGCAGCAGATCATCGAGGGGCAACAGCAGCAGCAGCAGCAACAGCATTTGGTGTCCATCGGCGGAACCCGTTGCTCTGCTGCATGGAAAGCGTTCGACGGACCAAAAGTCCGATTCGTTTCATTTGAGTGTGCGACTATTGTGAATTCATTCACAGCACATTGTTACAGATTTAATTGTTGTTGTTGCTGCTGCTTAGATCTGTATCGGCAACTTGTTATAATTGATTGTTGTGCACCATCATCATCATCGTAATCATCGTCATTTCTATTGAAGTTTTCGTGGCTCCAGTTTCAATGAGCTGTGCATTGAATCTCCTACTGATTGAGTGCCAGTGCAACTAGTCTACTGCAACGTGGGTGGGTGGGGGTTTCAATGCAATCAATGGACCATCCATCATGGTGAAACACCCTATTAGAGAGACTGGATGAATCGACAATAATAGTTTTGTACTGTTACAATTGTTGTTCTGAACTCCTTTCAGTATTAATCATGCTTCACTTCCTTCAATGAAAGAGTTGTCAAAGTGGTTGGCTGGACTAGAAGATACTCCGTATTTCGTTTAATTGATTATCAAATTAAATTGACTTCATGATACCCTATACCAATAATTCTTTTACCCATCTTTAATATTTTTAATAGAATCTTTTTTATATAGTGAACTTTAACTTCTACAATTGTATTACATGAGGTTTTCTTGACTAGCAGAGACTTCTTTTAAGGAAAAGAATTGTTAACGAACTTTAGTGTTTACAACTCATCTTCTATGCACCCTCCAGGGGCATACCCTTTATCATGTTTCGGAGAAAAGCCTTAGAGTGCTTTGGGAGCTTCCCTAAGTTTTTCTGTTTTCTTTAATTTGACCTGCTGAACTATTAATTATGTACTCAGCTTATTGATCTGTTGTACAACCAGATACCCTATACTTTGATATACAAATACATTTTTGCTTATTATGCACGCTCTACTGAAATACTCTACAATATATTTCAAAACAAATTTTGTGTATTTTCCTTACTTCTAGTGCTTTCCATTGTAACCTTCTCGACCTAAGGATACCCTATCATAATTTAGAAGTATTGAGTTTTCAGTTGTTTTTTTTTTTTTGTTGTGTTGACTTAGGGCGGGTCAAGTCAACTGACTGTCTTTCGTAATTGTCTCGCATACTTTGACGGCAAAGGGTCGCATTCCGATTCCTTTCGCATTCGTTTTTCTTGGCCTTGTTCATTTCTGAAATTGAATTTAATTTTCCAGAAAGTTTGACTTTCTGTAATAAAAATTGTCTGGTCAATGTCTTCTTTGCATTCTTCACTTTGATTGCATTTTTAAACTCGCATACAAAAGTCTTGGCCCGCAGTCAAAAATCGGCTAAATCTCGTCTTATTGTTCGCTGGCAGCTTATTATCAAAGCGTCGTCCTTAGTTTCGGCCTTTGTATGACTCTTTCTTTTAATGTCTTTGTTTGCTATTAAAGTCCGTTTTCACTTTTGATACAATCGACAAAAGAAAAAAGTTGGTAAACAAGTTTCTTATCTTCTTCCATTCCTTAAAGTTGCTTTGAATATATTTTGGTATTGAGATCTTTTATTTCCCTAGTGCATTATTCTTAAGTCTTATTGTTTAGTTGCTTAAGAAACTGAGAAGCAAATTCAAATTGTTTTTTATTTGTCTGTTTATATTTTTATGAACGTTGTCTTTGCCCAAGTATACTTGGCTCAATCAGACAGAATTCATAATAAATCCTTGACTGAAGCTGGGTCTGTTAAATCCAGCAATGTAAACTAAAGTCTAACAAATGAAACAACATTCAGCTGCATTTTGATGTGAAGCGCGCCGCAAAGGCTGCCACAAACGAATAAGCGCCCGAAAGTGTGCAACGCATTGTAATGAAACCACAGTTGGTATTGGATTAGCATGCCACATACGTTTTAATTATACATGTAGTTGTGGAACCGCCTATTTGATGGCGGAGTTCAAACACAGACAGAGCCGGCGGCTCGGTTACTGTTTGGTCCCAACTGTAAAGTAATTTAAGTAATTGTGGCAAGTAGGATCGCAAATTGAATTTGGGGCTGGTACAGTGGGAGCAGCTGCTGGTGCTGGTGAAATCTAATGAAAACGAGCGAGTCATTTTAATTAGAAAACAATTAGATTAAAATAAATTAAACGAATCGCTGGGCGCAGGCAATCGATCTACCAACTGCAGAATACAAACAACAAGCCAGCACCACACGAAAGCTCAACAGCAGCGAAATTTGTGCCAGAGAAAATAAAACAAATATAACAACAACATAACAACATTTAACTGCTCGACTCGCCTCGCCGCAACGTCTGTCAGACTGCAAACAATTAAAGAAAAAATCAACAATCGCACTGCGAAAAAGAAATGAAAAAATATATAAATATATACAAAAAACTACAAATATATTACATTAATTTAATTGGCAATTGCTATTTTTTCCTCTCCTTTTTTTGCATGTCTCTAGGCCATTCAGTTGTCCCGCCGAAGACATGCAGACATGCAACAGTATCGAACGAGAACATTTCGTTGTTTTACGCCAGAAAACTCTTTAATAATTGAAGCACTATTTAAGCGATACATAAATAATTCAGTTTTCACTTTTCGCTTGTGATTTTGTTTGGTCTAGCCTCAGGCGGCGGCCAAAAAGGACGCCAAATCAACCTTAGCAAAAAATTGAAAACTTTGTATGAACAACAATCAAAAACAGTCCGCGACAAATAAAATAAGTTACAAACAAAATAATTTGGGGTATAGGCAACTTAGTGTTACCCTGTTGAGTTGGATTGAAATTATATAAGAAAATAATTCAAATAAAGAAAATCAGTATTTACAGTAATTTTAAAAGAGTATGAGAGAATGTTGATTTATAAAAGATTATGAAAGAATTTTAGTATTTTATTATTATTAAGTGTAGAACCTTTACAATCAAATTTAGTACCTTAACAACACATGTAAATATATGGAATTAGAGCCAAACCACAGTCACATTATGAGGAATTAAAAGGAGATAGTTTACAGCATTCCCATCGTTTTGGCAAAGCCTTGGCGTTTAAGTCGTCTTAGGGGTCTGACAGGGATTAGACCTCTTGCAAGTAGGCTTCGGTGTCGTTGCAATCTATCCGTGCATAAATTTATAAAAAATTCTATTTGAGTCTTAAGTGATTGGGACATTTTCAGTACCTCTAAATATCTACTTAGTTCTATTTAGTTAGACATATAAAATGAACAGAATTGGAGTGGATACAGCTTGGGTCAGTTTTGTACGACTTTCACAAGCTAAGATACCCGCTCAATAGTTGCCTAAGCCCGCTTTTGCTTAATCGCCAGCTTTTGTATGGGACTTCAAACAAATAGCAAATACGGCATACTGCTGCTTTTGACAATTGCCGTTGGCAGCAAATAACTTTTAGAGTAAATAATTTATTTTTCATATAAATTATGAAACGCAATTTCGTTAAGTGCAATTGAAAAACTTTCACGACTAACTAGCAGCTGCAGCCTGCCCGCGAGCAGCGAGTCCTTTGCCCTCGGTGCAGACATTAAAGTCAATATTGTTGCTAAAGGTGTGGCTGTGGCCTGAATTTAAGTGGATCCGGTGCGGCATGTGTTGCAAGTCAAGGATCATTAAACTTAAGAGGCACACATGGCCCACACACACGCACAGCTGACACAATAGATTGTCGCAACATGGATTGGCATCGGATTACCACTTTCTGTGCAGTGGCAATGCCAACGCCCGCAACAGCATGCCGAACGGCGTCACTTTCCCTACCAGAGCATTGGATGACGTGCCGTGCACGGTCACGGCCGGTGGACTGAACTGGACTGGCTGCGATTGGAATGGAATGGAATGGAGCGGAGTGAACTGGACTGGTACCTGGACATGGTTGCAATTGGGAGCAGAGGCAGTCGCTTTCTTGTTAAATGAAACCACGGCAAACTCTTCGCATTACTTGCGCTTTTGTGCCAGCACGTAGCTGCGCTGGCATTGAAATCGAAGAGAAGAATAGTGCGTAGATTGGGTGTCAGGTTGCCTCAAGGCATGCAGCATGCGTCAAATGGCAACTGCCAGCAGGCAACCTGTCATTCATTCCATCGGCTTGGCTGCTGCGTCTGGATTATGGCTATTATGTTGCACAGATAAAGCAGCCGATAGTTGGCCAGGTGCAAAATGGTGCCGCAGCTTAAAACGGTTGAGGTCTGATTGCCATTGCCAAAGTCTTTAAAATTACAGTGCAACAAGCAGCAAGCAGCAAGCGGCAAGCAGCACGAGGCAAACAGCCAGTGGCAAGCGCCAAAATCTGCAGCAATTATATCGAGCAGTCGAGTAGCCTGCGTGACTGCCTAAGTGAATTCGTTATTAGCCAAATGCAAGATGCAGCGCCAAGTGCTGACGCTCTTCGGGCCGCCTGCGCCCCTCGCGCCCAGCCTGGCCACATGTGCAACAGAATGTAACTGAGCCGCTGAGTGCTGCTGAATGTGGTTCCAGCGGCTACTTATGAAAAACGAGAGCTAATAGTTCGTTTCACTTTTCTTTTATTATTTATTATTTATTTATATGCATCTGTTGGCAATTTTGTTACACTTGTTGACTGCTCCCGACTCCCAATCGCGGCGCCGAGGCGTGGTCACACAGCATGTGGCGCTGCACAGCCTACCCCACCGACCCCGCCCCCGTCCCACACTGTCTGGCGTTGTCTTAATTGCCCGCGCTGGCATTGTTTGCTTTTACTTTTGCCTGCAAGATTGTTTTGCGCAAATTACTCGCAAATTAATGAGCAGAAAATTAACCACATTAGAGCACTGCATGGCTAATGTGGTGGGGACGCGAACAGGTGACTGCAACAGGATGGCTCGCATTTGTCGTGCAGTTATTGCAAGTGCTAGCAATTAGTTTAGCCCTTGCACCTTTGACAGTGTCAAACTCCAGCAGAGATCACAGCGTCGCATGCAACATGTGGCAAAAGAAGGCGAACAAAACTTAGTAACTGTCAGTGATGCAGCAGCTGCACAGTGGAACAATTTGAGTTGATTTGCTACATGGTAATATGATAACATTTGCTATTATTTATCATTGATTATTAGATTTTTGATATATATGAATACATTATACAAATATATATAAATTAATTTTTACAACCAATCGACTGATTTGTCACTTCGAGTTGGTGGCACGATCTTTTATGAAATGGGCAACATTAGCTCTATCTACTTTATAATTCCAAAATACCAAAATACATTTTAATACACATTTCAATATACATTTAATATAAAATGATATTTAATATATTTAATTTATATATATAATTAATTTATATATATTTAATATATATATAGTATTAAAATACCACTCGTTTAGTATTTTTTTATGCAATTCTTCAGGCTTAGCTTTAAATTATTACTCACTAATTACTTTAGACTAATTATATTTATAAATATTTATAGTTTTAACTCATTAGTCATCAGATGCCAGCTCTTTCTAAACCTAGCTCAGCGCAACTTGACATAAAATATATCAAATATTTCCTGAAACCTTTCCTATAATTACACAATCTATAACTCCGTGCTCCGCTTAGCAGTTTGCTATTGTCCATAGCCCTAAAAAAAAGATATTGTATAATAACTAATTATTAATTTATTAACATTGATTATTTTATTTAATTTTAATTGATAAACTTATAGTATTACTCATACGACCTGTTGTAAATTAGTATTTATATAAATGCAGTTATTTATTGAAGTTATCTTACGTAATTTATTCAGTTTTTTTATTAATACAATACAAAAAAATGTTCTCAATTGCTAATTCTACGCTCTGTTGTGCAGCTATGAGATTTCGCTGTGTTCTATCGGTGTTGCACCACGGTGCATGGCATGTCTGGCTGCTGCAATTGGATGTTGCCGCCCGGTGAGCGATGGCCGACACTCAGCTGCTTGTCTTGAAATCAAAACTGTAGCAAAGTGGTTCACAGCATAATATGCCTAGGCATAGCAGAGATGCCGACGCCGACGTCGCTGGTCCGTGGATGCTGCTGCTGCCGCTGCAGTGGCTGCGGCTAACAATAAAACTGAGTTGCATGCAACAGCAAGTAATTAGTGTTTATAGCGGCGTGTTGCAACGCGCTGCAGCTGCTGCCAACTACGCTGAAGAATATCCATATGAAGGATACGCCGCGTACTCGTGCTCGTCCTCGTCCTAATCCTGTGCTGTGGTAGTGTCTCTTGATATTTGCGTGCTGCGCTGTACTGTGCTGAATAACTGTTGGATTAGATAAAGACCATTGTATCAATAAATTTACGCAAAATAATGTTGCACTACATCGCTGCCAGCTGCGCGTTGGTGGCGCTTCTGTGCGCGCCGCCAAGCTCTGCGGCAATCCACAAACGCAGTGGAGCGCGTACGGGCAATTCGGTGGGCACCGAGCCAGAGGCGACGTCTACGCAAATGCATAATGTCGAACCGAGCGCAGAGAATACGGATCTGCTGGATAAACTAAGCTGGAAGTGCGCCAACAATGCCAGCTGCCTGCATAGCGTGGCCAATGGCATTATGTCCTCGTATCGTCGTGGGGAGACGATTAAACTGGGTCTCTTCGACTTGGTTAAGCTGCCACCTCTGGATGAGGCGCACAAGCACAAGTGGGGCACTGGTCGCGGTATGTCCAGCTTCATGGATTTCGTCAGCGGCAATGCAATTCGTGTGCCTGTGGGGCCGATGGTGTTCAGTGTGCAGCGGGCCGAGGATGACAGCGACTACATTGAAGTGGCGCTGCTGAAGAAGGCGTCGAGTGGCACAGGTAATGGCCCTTGGCTCGCTTGATTGATCTGCACCTAATTGGCAGGCCGTGCGGTCACTTAATTTCATTCGGCATCTGAAAACATATGCTATTCAATTGGAGTACATTTACTTCTGTGTATTTCGGAGTAGTTGTTATGCAGCTCACAGTCAGCTGCCAGTTGACTTAATGCGACAGACTTGTTTGTACCTTGGGGCAACATCTGTCAAATGCCTAACCTTGGCAGGACCTCTGGCGCATATAAATGGCCCAGTGGCTAGTAGGCCTGCTGCTCTAGCAGCCATTATTTATATTCATTAGGTGTGATGCTCGTTGAAAACATCAATCATATCAGAACGCTACAATTCAATCCAGTCCAAACTACTATTATCCAACAGCCACCCACTACCCACACATACACACATCGTGCTACATTAAAGCCATAAAGCTTAAAACGTGTCCTGCTTTCATAAATTTGTACATAACAGGACGTCTGCAAGGCAACGGCGGTGGGGGCGGCGGACTGCTCGGCGGCGGAGGCGGCGGCGGCCTTCTGGGCGGTGGTGGCGACAGCGGCGGTGGTGGCCTGCTCGGTGGACGTCGTCGACACCAGCATCAGGATAAGAAGCAATTCCAAATGTACATACCCATGTATCTGGCCGCCACAACCTTTGGCTGGACCATGGTGGCAGCCAAGGCGGTGGGTCTGCTGACCCTCAAGGCTCTAATCCTATCAAAAATAGCCTTTGTCGTGGCAGCCATTGTGCTGATCAAGAAACTAATGGACAATGCCAGTGAAAAGTAAGTCAACATCATCTGCGCCAGAGCACATCTAATCTCCATTTGCAGAATGATGTACCAGTTCCCTGAGCACACGCCCTACATGATGCCCTATGGCATGGACTATCCCATGCACTCCGCGGACATCTCGCCAGAGATGTTCCCCGGTGCACTGCACCAGCTGGCTGTTGCCGGCGGTGGCCAGATGCCACACCCAGGCCATCCGGGCCTGGAGAGCATGGGCGCTGAGAGTCATGTGCAGTCGCAGGTCTCAGGCGATGGCAGCAACAACACCAACCCGCTGGCCGCCCTTGGCGCGTATGGCGGGCTGGGGCATAAGATCAAACGTGAGGACTCTTGGAAAGCGAAGAGTAAGTGCATTGCGTGCGGCGTCATAAAACAGTCTTACCCTTGTTTCAGATAGCCCACTCTATGTGGCCTCTGCGCTCTGCTAGTTCGCCAGGTCAACGCTGGCGCAGCTCTGCCCAGATCGATGCCAACGTGCTCGCCATGGCCACATCCGTGGCCGAGGCGAGCGTTGAGGCAGCTGATGATGAGGATGACGATGATTTCTGAGTAGTGTATATATCTTAGATTTTGATTTGATTTCGAACGGGCTCTGAGGCTTTGGGTTGGCTTCCTTAAACAAATCTTATGGCTTTCAGGAAATGAAATGCCTTTGGTAGATGCTTTCAAATCTTTAAGCCTTTCAAATATTTACAACTCTTAACTTGTGTATCTTCTCTCTATAAGCACTGATACTAAAAGCATAAGGAACATATTGGAGTGAGATATTATTATTCTATCGTCTGACCTGTTCAATTTGCGACCTGTGCACTTTTAAACATTAGCCTGAAGCGAAAGATTCTTCGAGAGCATTTATTTTTGTTTATTTCTTCATCTAGCAGCTATAATATAATCTAGGCGATAGAAAGCTATATATAAAATATATAAAGAAAATATAAGTAGACATTTAATAGGAATAGGATCGTAATTAAGGAATATGTATCTCATACCTTATAGAAATTCTTTCGTATTATATATTACACATTTTTTTATTATAATTCCTAACTCATAGTCGCAAAATAATTTTCTTAAGGCTTATGCTGCTTGTGAGCTAATGCAAGCATCTATTTCATCAGCTTCCTCTATCACGAAGGCACAATCTAGACTGCTTCTACACCTAAAGCCATTTCATATTTCACTTGAGTCAAATTTGGCAATGTGAAAGCAAATGTAACTAATTTTCCAACTGCCACCCAATGCCAGTAAAATCCTCTCTCGAAATTCCAAAAATACCCTTGACAAACTGTGTGCTGCACGACGCTGTTTGCATTTGCTTTGAGACCATTTTAAGCCAATTTGTGGCTGAAATATTGTATGTGCCCGCAGACTTGTTGCTCGCTCGTTGAGTTGGCACTATATTGGAATATGCACTACCTATTGCTTATTAAATTGCAAAACTGTGAGCGGACAGGCTGTCAAGTGGAGCACGTTGCAAAGTTTTCTAATAAGTCGTATCACTGTTTGCAGAAAGTTTCAGTTTAATCTAAGCTAAGTGGCCCTAAAGTCAATGCTGCTGGCATTTTGTTTCCACTTAATTCAACAAAACCGCAATTAAAAGAAACACTCACACACAGCCACTCAAACTATCTCTCTCACACATACACATACACACAAACTAAACTCTCTCTGGACATATATTAAATCGCTGCATACTTTGCGGCTGCACGTAAAGCAAGCACACAAGCGGGCTATCAAAAGGAGAGTCGAAAGTTTGGCTACTGATTGCGAACTTATTGCGTACTTTGATGAGCTATTTATTAAAACAAGCAGCGAGCGTAGGTACTGATAAGTGTATTCGTTGCAGCCACGCCGGCAAGACGCCCCCTCATCTACAACTACATGCAGCCACAGATGCCCTTCTACCGTTCGTAGGGGCCAGGCTTGAGCCAATCCGTGCAGCTTTTGGCCTCTACCGCTACCAAAGACCGTGAGACGACAGTGAAAAGGAGAAGGTGAGGAGGTTCTGCTGCCATAACAAATGAACATCTGATGCCCGGCAAACGAGGAGTGCTCTACGCTGCTTAATTAACATTAATTATTTATTTATTGCTATTTATGTTTATTTATCAAATTGTTTATAGTCTAGAGTTAGGTCTAACACACACACACTTAGTTAAAAATACCAGAAACTAGCAACAAAAAATGCTACAAAAACTTAAAAAAAAAGATAATTTATTAAAACGAAAGAGCGCAAATTGTCTCGAAAATTGTAATTCTGTGTATTTTATTTAATGTGGAATATTGAATTAGCATATCAGTTAAATAAATAAATAAATAAATAAATATATATATATAAAAATAAAGTACAAGTAGAGTGAAAGAAAATGAAGTTGAAGTAATTAAAATGCAATCAAAAAGAAATTACAAACAGCAAGAGAGAAAGATTGAGAGAACGTGAGAGCGAGATAGTAACGTGAAAAGAGAAAACGTGATTAAAACTATAATGAGAAAAGCGCGGCCCCCACTTTATAAATGCAACATTAATGAAAAGCTTCGCATTTTTGGTAGTGCAATTATTTGTTTCTTAATTGTTTTTTAACATTTTCTCATTGCGGCACCTTGGCGGGCTGCTGCGCACTGTAGGCCGTCTCCTGCGCTTCTTGGGCCATAATGTGCGCCGGCACCTGGGCCAAGCCCTCCACGAAGCCATCGAGCGCACGCGACCAGCCAGAGCTGTAGCTGTCATGATGCGACGGCACCTCTACAATGGTCTTCTTCTGCGAGAGCAACTTCTTCAGTGATATGATCACGGCCAGCAGCAGCGCAATTTTCGATACAATCAGCGCTTTGCCGGCGAGCAGGAAGAGACCCTTCAGCAGGATGGCGCCCACCATGCCCGTTTTGGCCGCCATCATCATAAGCACCGGGCCCATGTTCTTCATTTTGCCGCGACCCTCCTCCAGCGCCTCGATGGGACGCACCGAGACGCCAATGTTGAGGCTGCCCTTGGGACCGCTGTTCAGCACAAAGTCCGCATTGTCCGAGAACTTGTAGCGCAGTGTGCGAGAGCGAACAAAGCGCCACAGCTTGTTAGCTATAAGCAGGCCGTACGACTCCTCGTCCGAGTCCATGGCACGGGCCAGCAGCAGCTCATCCTCGCTGTCGTCTGGCACATCAGGCATGGCTCTAGTTAGAGCACACAATAAAATGTAGAGAGCTTAGTGTGGCGAGCTCTTGGCTACGTCACTCACCTGTTGCGCGAGACGCGGAAGTTGTCGCTCAAGTCAATGGTGGACTTCTTAAAGAGGCGATCCAGAAAGATAGCCGCCTTAAGCATACTGCACGAGTGATTATCATTCTGAATGCACTTCTCGTTCAGCTTAATCATGGCCTGCTCCTCCTCCTTGCTAACATTGTCTCCGCTTATCTGAAAAGAAGTAGTAATGCCATTAGCTTAAGGCTACAGCTAGGCGGCAGCTGCTGCCGGCCGATAAACCAGGCAATAATTATTTGACCCATTTCTTGGTCGAGTGCAAACAAAGGTTTGACAGTAATGCGCTGCAGTCCTGCGGCCATGTTTGGAAATTGATAAGATTTTGGGACCAAATGGTTGGACTATCAGCTCAAGCCAGGATATTCGCAAAGCTTGAATTGGACAGCGATTTTTCACTCTTATCGCTGGCATTTACTTTGCTTCTTTTTCGTTTATGGGGAAAGCGCAAAACTTTTTTTTAACCTTACCGAGTTGTCACTTCCGCTCAGGGTGGGCGTGGCACGTGCCGTGGCAAGGACAAGCCCCATGCCCAGCAGCGTGTAGAAAGTAAATGTTTGCATCTTGTTGTAGTTGTTGCTGTGGCACTTGCTTAGTTAGCTGCTTTGTTGTCTTATTTCTGTTATTTCACTGTATACACTGTACGACTGTGTGTTTCATAAATGTCCTTTGTATACACATACACACACACACATATATAGAGAGATACACACACACGCACAACACTTGACGGAAGCGTCTACGCTCTGCTCGAATGTCACGTCGACTGTTCGGCGTTTACTGTTGACATCGTCGTCTTATAAGAAAACCTAATGCGAATTTTCCGCCAGCGATTTCGATTTTATATGAAAAGCGGCCAAAAGCGACGCAAACACAATGCAGGCCGATGCCTGCGTCGCCGTCGACGTCGACGTCGACGTTTGTTTTTGCAGCGTCAAACTAGTCGCAGGCTAACTGTATGTGTCTATGTGTCTCTGTATGTATGTGTGTGTGTCTGTCCCGAGCTGACAACAAACGCCGCAAATGAAACTGGGACTTGTTTAGCCAGTTTAAGGAAATTCTGAGCTGCCGTTGTCTATGGGCCCACGGCCAAGCTCTCAGTTGGCAAATTGACTTTGCTGATGTTCTGCTGCGTTTGCTGACTTTGTTTTTGTTTTCTTTAGTTGGCTTTGCCAAAACAATGCGACTGAAAGTAAACAACAGACCCAATTCCCAACAACAAACAGGCCAATTTTCCCACAGACCCTCGGCAATACAAGAGGTGCTGTGGCTGGGGACTCTGTGGCATGTTGCATGGCAACGTAAAAACAATTTAGTTTGCATCAATTAAGAGCCAGGCCACATGTGATTGAGACTTTGCTCACAGATATGTGCTCATAACTCAAAGGGAAAGTCAAGCTGAAGTAGCTGCGATTATCAGCTGAATTGTGGCTTAACACGTCCTACGGCAGATATTTATTATCGAGTTCGAAGCTCCGCAGCAGCAGCATTGACAGCAGCTAAGGCACTTCATTAACCCACAGTTCAGGCGACCAATCCAAGTTCGCTTTTACCTCAACTTTTACACACCAAAGTGGAGCATAATTTATTGCTTTGGTGGCTGACTGGCTGCGTTAAGGGTTCGTGTTTGGGCCACAAATTGAATCAATTTGACTGTCATACGCTGGCCGAATTATTGCACACATTGCAAATTGGCCGACAACCAACAACAGCTACCAGAAGAGAGCTAAGAGGCAGCCAAAGTAGGCTAACATGAGCCGCAAAACGGCCGCTCCACAAAATGTGGCACGCCACGACGAAAGTGGTTGGCAGTGGGGCGCAGAAACCGCTACACGATCTGACCATAAACCGTTGTGCTACTGCTACTGCTGCTGCTGCGTGGTCCCAAATCAAACCGCACCAAAATCAAAAACATTGTGTCCGTCCGAGTCAGTTAGCCCCTGCCCCTCCCACTGCTGCTCCTTGCCACCCGGCTGCCGACGGCCATTGGCAAACTCATAACAATTTCTCAAGTGCTGCCGCTTTCTTTCGAAAAATGTGGTCCACTCGCCTGAACCGGCGCTGTCGACGCTTCGCCAGTGTTGTCACCAGGCGGCCAGGACAGACAGCGCTGGCAGAATGGTCAGAGAAGGCGCGGAATATGGCCAACTTCGCGGTTTTGGCATTGACTTTGAACTGCCAACACCATGGTCAAGACCACGCCAAGCGAGGTTTCATTCAGCAATACGTGAGCAGCTTGATAATTAATATAATTGACAGCAATTCATAAAAGCGCTTCATAGCCACCTGTCGTACAGTAACTTTAAGTCGTAGCACAATAACATTTAAGCACATTTTTGCAGCCCAGCGTATGGCAAACTTTGTTTTATTGATTTTAAACAGTTTCAAAGCAAACAAAAAATATTTTGTGTTTTTGTCATTTTAATGAAATTATATTAGACTGAACCACACAAATTGCCTGAGCCTTCGATGCATTTGGCTTCCAATTTGGAATTGTTTTTCAATGTAAAATAAAAGCAGTGCGTTTTATAATTATAGAGGAGTGCGGTAATCCGGTTTAAAAGTGAGTTCTGGTATCAGAAATATTCTAATAAATAAATAATAGATAAATAAGAAAGTAGAAATAAACTATATCTATCTAAGGCTGACTACGCTCATATATAAATGATGAACAAGCAAAGACTGAATTCAAGTTTATTTTGCTTTAAAATTAAAAAGATTAACGAACCAATTGAAATTGAATCTGTTCATTGCTCTATAAATATGGGTCAACTATAAATATCTGTGGTAATCAAATTAAGTTGTTTGTTTTGAACTGTCTTTAAGGCTGCTGATCCTTCGGGCAAATTTACTGGAGAAAATGCCAACGTGTGGTGGTTTCTCTTTTTGTTGTGGCATCTTGAGGCGAATGTTTGTGGCGACCCTCGTTAAAGAAAAGCAAGATTAAACACGCCAGGCCACTTTTCCTTTGCGCTGGCCGTCAATTTCTCGCCTTGGTATTTCATTGCCTTAATTAAATGCTGCATTTTATTTGTGGCAGCTTCAAAGGCAGCCAATGCGAGCAAACAGCGAGGCAGGCAGACACACGTATTTACACGCGCACATTTGGAGAAACATTGAAATGTGAAATTTTCTATCGCTAATTAGCACACCCCTTCGATTGGCGCAGCGCCAGTCCCACCCACTCGAGAGGCATTTGCTTTGAACTTAATATTGGACTTTTATTTACAGTTAGCGTAATAAATATTCTTATAGGAATGCAACGCCCAGGGCACAAAAATAAATAACAAAGAGACCTGGTCTAGACTGGAACATCCTTTAGCTCTTCTGTTGCGTCGCCTGCGGCTCGGCAGCAATATCCTTGCCGGTGTTGCGGCCGTAGTAGCCATTGTAAGCGGCTTGCTGGGCATCGCCAAAACTAATGGAGTTGCCGCCCACCTGGCCCTGGATCTGCTCCTGGCCCTGGTAGCTCTTGCTGTAGTAGTCGCTGTAGGGCTTGGCAAACGATGGCTCTGGGCGGTAGTAGCCGCCGGGTGCACCGCCCCCGTGGCCGCCCTCATAATGCTCATGATGATGGTAGTAGGTGGCAGCGCCCACGCCTTGGGGCGTGTATTCGGGGAAAGTGGGTTTGCTGCCAAAAAGGCCAGACAGGCCACCGCCAAAGGCACCACCAACACCACCTGGCGGGCGGCAGAGCTTGAAATAGGCAAACAGACCTGGCAAAATGATGGCAGCCAAGCCCAGAATCTTCTTCAGACCCGCAATGCCCAGAATGAAGGGCAGGAAGAGCAGCAGCTTCAGCTTGAAGATCTTCAGCACCAGCAGCAGGGGAATAATCATCTTCTTCAACTTCTTGCGAGCTGCGAAAAGGAAAAGGCAATGTCAGTCTACGCCAAGAGCTGACTGAGAGACGGAGTCACTTACAAAAGTGTCCGGCACGCTTGTTCTCAATGACATCCAGTTCGTCGTCAATGTCATTGCCTATGAAGCGCGCCTCATAGCGACCTGCCTCGGTTAGCTCCTCGGGCCACTCCACTTCCAACGCAGTGGACTTGATGAATCTGCGGCACAGCGAAAAGGAAGTTGTCAAACAAAGGCGGAAACATATTTTATGCATAAGCGACTGAATTTTTTAAAAGTTTTTGGCGAGTCAATTAAAAGTGTTGGGACCCACATTAATTCAGCTGCAGCACGCGCCGCAAAACTTGAAATCATTTGACTAATTGTCTGCCCATTAGAACTTACCGTTCGGCGCGGCGTAGGGCATATTTCACCAGCAGATTCCAGTCATCGTCCTCAGAGCGCGGCTCCTCGGAATACTCGAAGGGCTCCTGCAGCAACGAGCGCTGTTGCGTCTCAGGCAGACGCACGACACGCGCAAAGTCCGAGAGACTGTGAAGGTCACGTGAAAAGTGAGTACGAATAGATACAATAATAAAAGGGCAGTCCTACCGATACTGATCCTTGTAGAAAATCTCATCGAATGTGTTGAGCGCCTGCGTCTTGAAGCACTCGGATAGATCACCGCTCAGGCAGTTGCTGTTGGTACGCGCCAGATATGGATCGTTGTCATTGCCCAAGCCGAAGATGCTCAATATTGAGGAGCGACCACGCTCCTCGCCCGGCTGGGCCACCTGCTGTGGCTGCTGCTGGAATTGCAGCGTCTGCTGCTGTTGCAGTTGTTGCGGCTGCGGCGCATAGATCTGTTGTATGTTGTTCGACGACTGCTGGTCGGGCAGACGCAGCCCCTCGGCGGCCACGAGGCCAATGCCGCAGCAAGACACGATGGTCAGCAAGGCGAGCGCTCTCATTGTCATGGCTAAAAGAGAGAAAATTTCAGGCGCGTTAGCCGAATTGTCCATAAAAAACGCATAAAAGCACGAAACACAAAAAAGTAAGGAAAAACACTTTTCGGCCAATTGACTTTGGACCGGTCAATCGATGTTTTCTCTGCGATTGGTTTAACGGCTCTGAAGCTCCGTGCAGCAAGCGGTGCTCAGCTCGGCTTGAGGCACCAGTTATGAATTATAAGTGTGTGTGCGCGTGTGTGTATGTGTGTGTGTGTGCTTAGGTCTTTTTTTTGGCAACTTTTATGCTTGGCTCATTGTTTGTTTATTGGCCGAGCTGATTGGCTTTTAACTGGCGTGGGCTCGACTCATAACTGACACACTTTGGAGAAGCGGCCGGTGAATCGCGTTTGTCACGGCCATTGCCGAAGCTTTTGGCAGTCTGTTGGGGCTCAACATCTGCAGTTATTTGCGCACACGTAATAACTCTCACTTTCCAGCTAACCGCAGCGCTTACAGCTAACAGTGCTCGTGGTGTTTGCTCAAACCGATAGACGGGCGAGCTTTCTGCGGCTTTGGCGCCGAACACAAACCAAAATTTTGAACTCTGCTCGATGCCCAAAGTGAAATGCAATCAAACCGGTTTTTTTTTATATATTTGTGGTTGAGTTCGCCTTTTTGTGGGTTATTTTTGTGGCCACTTAACCCTTTGTCCGCAATGAGGTGGCTAAAGCAACTGCACGTAATTGAAATTGTGTTAAATTTACAAAGAGCAAGGCTAATCGAGTATGAACAGGAAATGCAGTTGGGAGTTAGCGAAATCTCAATACCCTTCAAAACTTGACCAAATTTACAGCTTGAGAAAATATATATTATAATATATATTTCAAATTACCAAATACATAATAATACATTTAAGTTTAAATAATTTATTTTATATAATTTATTTAAGAATTTCCATTAAGGTCGTTTCAATTAAAGCAAAAATAATTCCCTGCTTTTCAGCTGTGTGTAAAATTCACTAAATACTATATTATTCTTTCTGTCTTGAATAAACTATTCATAAATTCTCAACCAGTTATGTAAGCTCAGGTCATATCCCTGAGCAGTGTGCAAAAAATTTAATTGGACGTAGATAATGTAATGGGAAGTATAAAGCAAAACCAAAACTCAATAAGGGATATATAAATAAATTGCGCTTTGATCCATGTAGGATTGAAAATTAAGCAGAAATGTTGACGGCAAAAACCATAGTATAAAGCATGAATTACATTTTGTGCTGAGTTCACAAAACTGCTGTAGCTATTGCTCTCGTGCTTTTCACTCATTTGACAGCGAACCGATCGATTTTCTACTATGGCAGAATGCGGGGGCGAAAGTAGCGTAACGTGATACCTTTCGGGAGGAACGAAATTTGCAGTTTAATCAATGCAACGGAGCACAAAAGAGCGCGATTGAACTGAATTTGGTGCTTGAAACGCCGAAAACTGTGCAACGCGCGGACATTATGGCAAAGGGCAATATTTATGGCAGCGTAAATGGGAGCGCGCACAAAAGTAGGCAACGGACCGGAAACTTTTAACGAAACTTCAAATATTCTGCAGCAGCCGCAAAGTATGCAGGCGATTTTCGCTTTATGACCACGCTAATGACCCTCATTGGGGTAGGGTAGTAAGTCTGCATTTGATTTAGAGTGTATTTTGTGTAAATGAATTGATGTTGCCTTTAAATGAAAATTAAGTGCTTTTCGCACAAGCTTCGAACTTGTTTCTATAAATCATTGCAAAATTGAAACCAAATATTGCGATGCCTCCACTTGTTTGGCTTTCAAATTAGCATTAACTATTGAAGGTCAATGAAATGTTCGAGGCATCAGCGTTGCCAAAAGATATGCAAATGACAGACATTGCTCAATTTATTTGCAATCATGCGTTCAGCTCGAACACTGAGATGTATGTGAATGTTTCTGTATCGCCTTTGACAGCACACACTCTTAATATTTACTTTATGGCTTTTTCCATGTCACTTTTCTTTCTTTTTTTTTGCATGTTGCATAACACGTCGCACTTCATTTCACTTCACTTTTGTTTTGCTTTTCGCTGTGGTCTTATTTACCTTGTGCTGCTTCCTATAAACACTTGGGTTCGTTGGCTTTATCCTTAACGGCTTACTTAAGTCTTCAGACCTGGTGTTTTGGCTGGCTCTGAAGCGACTGTGCTGCTGTCGCTGCTCGGCAAAGATTTTATATGAAATGCGAGAAGTGTCGAGAAAGAGGTGCAAGCAAAAACGTTGCTTTTTTTTTGTGCCGCAAGCCAACGCACAAGCACAAGCACAAACACAACTAAACAATGGGCCAGAGCAGAGGTGAAGCCCAGACGCCAGCGCAAATCTACAATGCGGATAGCTGAGAGCCACTCGCCCGATCAAGCGACCATTCATGATGATGTTAAAGAGACGTCAACACGCTCGCACTTGCGGTAGGTTGGGGTTGGCTAAGCGATGTAGGTCTGTAGGCTGCGGCGTCAACGACTTCGTCGTCCGGCTGGCCGCGCGACGCGACCGCCTTGAGAAATCCCCAAAATTATTGTGGCGCACGTTGAGGCCTTGGGTTGAATTCGAGTTTAATTTAAAGAGCCGATGACTCACCATGCGGATCAGCGGGAAAACGTACGTCACAGCCAGAGCCGCAGATTATGTAACGCTGAGCACAGGTAATAATCACTTTTACTGTTCGAATCAACTGGTTGCGACTCGTTCCTGCCCTCGAAAATAGGGGCCAGCGCTTTATTTAAAGTCATGCCAAAATGTGAACAAACTGCCAGCAGCCGCACAAAAAGTGGGAATTTACCTGCATGCAGCTGAAACTGCAACGGCCAATCTTTATTTTCTGTTTTTGGGTTTTCGTTTTGGCTGCTGTGTGTGCGACTTTTGATTTTGTTTTTATTTTATTTTTTTTTAGGAAATCCCCCGAGAAGCCAAAGCTCAGATTAAATTGGGAAATTCCCACATCGGTTGCCACTTCCATGTGCCATTCTGTGTGCCACCCGTCAACGAGGGAGTTGTGCGCAGAAAATTACACTTACACGACACAGCAGACTAGCCAGAGGTGTAATTACCATTTGGACGCAAACGCAACTCGAACTAGCTCGAATCCCAAAATGGGGGCCTGCGACAATCGTGATGTGGATTGGACAGTTGTGGCAGCTGCCATGTCGCGCAGCTCCAATTGCAATCCAATTAGCCGATTCTCTGGCAACTTGTACTTGCAATAAAGGAAATCAACTGACAAATATTAAAGAATACATACTTAAGTGGCAGATCTGTCTACCCGGCCATGAAAAATCATGTAAATTGTACCTTTAAATATATTATTCGCTTCAGTTAATTCAGATTTCATATGAATTCAATGGAAAAGTATCAGTTTATTAATTCGAAAGCTTTGACAGTATCAGAGATCAGAAACACGAGCAGACATGCTAAAATGGACGCCACTGTAAATGCTTGCAAAGAATGAAGTGTTCAGCCATTCTCACTTATCATGCATCATTTCTTAAGTATAGGGTATAATTGTATGTACATTTCTGTATTCACATTGCATGTTAGTTCACCCTTTCAGCTCGGCCAGTAAAACCTTTGAAGCGGAAATCAGCTGTCAAGCACATACGACTGTATAAAGAGCAAAAATTAAGCTACAAAAGAAAACCGCAAAAATATGTTGAATGTAGCATAATATATATTTCTTTATATGTATATATACATATCTTTTTTTGTTATATAAACGCGAATCTTAAAGAGAGCAAGTTGTAGAGAAAGAGAGAGGTAGAGCTGAAGTATCGGAAATATTTTTAGTCAATAGCAACTTAATCAATTGGTAAATAACACACGTTCAGTGTGAGCCTGGACAACTGAAATCTATTTAATGTGAATTCAGCAGGCATAGAAGATTCGATTATCTAATTTGCTCGCAGCGCAGTTAGAGATGCTAACATAAAAACAAATTTAACTTGGTTTTCGCATACATACACACACTAATGTAATACACATACATACTTACAGCCAAAGATACAGTTACAGAAACGTACATGGCGAGGGATGAGTTAATTAAAATGACTTTTGGGGCAGACTGGCAGATTGTTAAACAAATTAGTTTTTTTCACAACACTTTTCCAAAAATCGTTGTTATTCATTTATTTTTGGACTTGCTGCGAGCAGCTTTGAAAACTAGTTTTTAGCGCAAAAGTATAACTTTGATGTAGAGCGAATGACAAACAAAAAAGTTTCAAATCATTTGCCAACCCTTTTTGTCTCTTACACATGCGGGTAGAATTTTCCAAAATAGAAGAATCTCTTCGTCAGATATTTGATATGAAATAATTACAAACGAAAATATTCATGTAGAGAGAGATTAACATTTTTGTTTGATAATTATTTTGCAATTTTTTCGTAAAATATTCTGGTAATACTCACATTTCGCATATTTTTCTGCTTTTTTTAAGCCTCTGAGAGAAGTCCTGAGCTGTAGCTTAATGAAAATCTCGTTGTCAACTTTATAATACAGATTAAGCTTTATTGATTTATTTAGGAGCTTAAACAGCTTTAAACAATTCGGGCTGACTAAGTGGATATAACAATATTAAATAAATAATAAATAAATATTTAAATACATAAATACATAAATTAAATATAATATTCAATAAATTAGTCCGTTTAAATAAATACATTAAATAACTCAACTAAATGGCTAAAGGTAACAGCAGCAATTGCTTTGCGTGTTAATTAAACTATTCAACATAAAAATTCTCTATTTACAGCACACTAATTAAAGCCCCGAAACACACAACCCATCGTCTACTGACAACATATTCAAGCTACATAAATATTTATATATATGCTATGCATAGCAGTATATACAGATAATATATAGACGCTCATATGCATTCATGTATGGCTAGGCTAAAGTTAAATTTGCATAATTACAGCTACAGGCATCAACACCTGATGTGCCCAGGTCTTGACTGGTGCGAGAGCTTTCACCTCTCACATCGCTCGTTTGGCATGCGTCGTCCTACGCCAATTTACGAGCCTGGACCAATTTGTTGATGTCGTTGTAAGTGGAGAGCATTGCTGGATTTTCGAAATCCTTGAATTCTTTGCATTTCACAAACGACTGCTCGCAGTCGACGCCGTCCTGGCCATCCTTGGCCGCGCGCATATACTTGAAGAAGCGCAGGATATCTGGGTTATCGGAGGTCGGCTTGCGCAATTCATTTAACTCGCTGACAAATGAATCAGAAAATAATATACATACATATTTAACAAATTTCACACATCGTTTCTTGTCGCTTCATTGCATAATTTCGGGTGCGCCGAAATACTCACCGACTGAGCTGGGCCGAGACAAGATTGCTGTATGGAGCATACTTTGCGGGATTGGCGTACATCAGGCAGATGAGCTTCTCGCGGCAATGCTCGTTCTCCGAGTTTAGCTTTAGTTGTGCAAAGACCGAGTCTAGGCGCGACAGCAAGGGACTGTAGAAGGGATCATAGTTGGACAAGAGCAGCGAGGAGTTTGGAACCTTCTGAAAGCTCTGGAATGTATTCATATTTGCGGGCGAGGCGGGCTTCTTGGCCATGCCGGGCGCCGCCATGCCGCTGGAGGAGCCGGCCGAGAGGCTCTGCGAGTTCTTAAAGGAAGCAGCGCCAATGCTCTGCAGCGCACTAAGATACGTCTCCTGCATCTGCTGGCCGCCGTACCTCGAGAGCGTGGCCGAGTTCAGCGAGTTGGGATTGAACGACGCATACTGCGCCTGTTGCTGCGAGGCCTCTGCAAAAGCTAAGGTGTCAGATAGGCCAACGTATTTAGTGTGACAATTGGACAAACCTGCATTGTACTCATAGCCTGCATTCGGCTTGCCATCATCAGCCATGGCAAACTTGTTGTCCTCCTCAAAGTTAAGGCTGTTATCCCTAAAGTCCAGCTCCTGCGGCGGCTCCATGGGACGCACAAACAATGGCACAGAGCTGGCCGAGCCCGAGGTGATGCCTATTAATGAATCGAACAGTTGTAGAAATTAAAAGAAATTAAGTTGGCAGTAACCGACTAGCAGATACACTGCTATCAGTGTCATTCTAGTGTTGATACGGAGCAAGCATAAGTATCTAATATAACCTTAACTGCTCAATCTATAATACCCGCCGCTACTCATATTCTACACACTCGTTTCGGTACTCACCCTTGCCAATCAGACGACTCACGCTGCCAATAATTGTGGGCAGAAACATGGCGAACAGTATACTCTTTAGCATCTGCAAAACCATGTACAAGGGCCACATAATCTTCTTGAGTCCTGTCAGTAAAGGTAATTCGTTAGCGACTGAGCGAAAGTTGCGTTGTTGAAGTCTTTTCTTACCTGCAAAAAACAATAGCCGAGCACTTTGCAGCGCGCGGGGAACATTGAGTTCCACATTGGCCGAGTCCAAAGCACTTCGTTCGAACCTTACAGGCTTTTCCACATGCTCCTTTGTGTGATTCTTTTGGAGCGCAAACACAAGTCCGGGCATCGGCTCGTATTTGCCCTCGGTGAAAAATTGCTGTACATATTCCATGAGCAAGTCCTCCAGGCTCTGCAGCTCATTTTGCATCACAGTCGAGCTCTCGTTTAGCTGGCTGGCTCTCTCAAAGGGCTTTGTGGTCGTTGTCGTAGTTGTTGACCTTTGAGTTGGCTGTGGCCTTGGCTCCGGCTGGACACTGCGCGACTGGACAGGTGCATCCTCTTGCGTGTAATCCTTCCGCTGCATTGCCACGGCCAGGCGCAAGTCGCTCTCGCTTTCGACCGGCTGAAAGACACGGTACTGCCCCGACTTGGTAAACACATTGCGCGAAATAAACTCGGGGCTTATGTCTCTGGGCAGGATGGGCCGAAAGCTGTTGTCATCGTTGCGCGCCACGCCCGTCATCGTTGTCAAAGGCTGACTGAAGGCCTGCCCAGCATTGCTTGATGTTCTATTGTACCCGGCATGTGTCAACACCGTGGCATGCCCCAGCTGGCAAAGCAGTTGCAGCAGCATTGGTAACAGTGGCAACAGCAGCGGGCTGCATCGTCGCTTTCTGTGCGTGTTTGCTTTTAATTTGATCTGATGGCTGGCAACAGCGCTCGTCTTGCTTAGCATTTTCATTAAACTTTTGCTGCACCACTCTGCACCACTCTGCTGTAATTTGTTTTTATATATTTCTGTTTTGTTTTGTTTTCCTTTTATTTTCTGCATCAATTTCATACCACCGTTTCGCTGGATCGCTGATGCACGTTCTGTTCGTTACGCTCTGCAATGAAAGCCAAAGGCGTTAAAGTTATTTCTCTCACTTCGCTGCGAGGGTGGTTTGAGCAATTGGCCAGAACTGCGATTCGCTTGCGAATAAATCATTTTACAGCACGTGCGTGACAGACGCGCCGAATGCGACCTGAAGCAGCAGCAGCAGCAGTCAGCGTAGCACATAACCAACAGCTTGTTAATCAGCTTGTCTATTACCCAAGCTTCTCCCACTCGCTCTCTCTCACACTCTTTCTGTCGCCCCTACGCCCAACCACAGATCGCATCCAGCGGCGTTTTGTTAGGCGTTAAGCAAGCAATGCACGTCGCGGACTTTTTATTTGTCTTTGTCGGAGACGGTTTTTAGCACCCAGATTCCCCCATTTGCCCCCCTAGGCGTCTTAAAAGTGAAAATGTATACAGTTTGTTTATATTTGCACCACATTTCAGTATTTCAGCTGAAGCTGCGTTCGAAAAATCAACACAGCTCACGATATTTTCATGTCGAATTTTCACTTTCAATTTCTACTGCAGCTGCTGCTTGGATGCATAATGAACGCTGCTCGAGAAAAAACAGGTATTACAGAATCAATATCAAGAGGTATTCAATCTCAAAGAGCAACAAAAGTAAGGAGTAAAAACTCTTTCCCCTTATGAAGAAATATGTACACTGAATAAACACATTCTGTGTGCTTATCTTGGCATAGCTATTAAATCTTACTTCTCTTCGTGTATTAATAACGCATGGCAAACCAAATTTAATGAAATTTAATATTATTTTATGCTTGACACACAGTTTCAGTTGATGAAGTGACAAAGTATAATTACAAAAGTGTAATATATACCTCAGTGTCGAACTATACTTACACATATGCAGGCAAACTGTTGTACAATGGAGAGTTATGAAATATATTCAATTGCAAATCAAATCAACAAATAATTGTTATAATAATCAAGCTCTCTATAATGAAGAAGCTCAGGCCAATGTATCAAGTTGTCGCATAGCTGCAAACCATAAATGTGGCTGATTGATAATTGGCAATAATAATTGCAATGGGAGCGACAGTAGCCACTATCATAATTAATCTATTATATGAAGTGGTAGTTCCTGGGCCTCGGAGAGCGCATTCTATTTGCTCGCTTTAAGGACAATGCCTGGCAACCGATTGCTAATCAACATTTGAACTCGCCATCAGGCAAGTTGTATGTAACTTGTATTTTCATTTAATATGCGTAGTTGCCAGCTAGATAGTTGAGTCTATTGAAATAATTCAACTAACACTTGCTGCACAACGTGTGCAGTGCCTTTGCGCTTTATTTTTGGCTCATTTCTGATGCAGACATTGAAATTGTTGAAATGAAAATCAGCAGCGGAACAAAGGCAACGCCCAGAGCATTTAACTAGTTTATTCTAGTGATTTGACAGCAAAAGCTTTGCTATAGCTGAGACTAATTTCGGCTCGAAGCCATAAAATATTAACAGTCAGCAGTGCAGAAGCAGAAGACGAGTGTGCACCTAATAAACAACTGAAACTGTTCTGTTGCATTTGCAGCAGTTTTCAGTTGTAAAACTAATTAACACGCTGTACTAACAAAGCAAAAGCAAACGATATTGATGCTTTTATAAATGGCATTGGCTGCAATCATTTGTCATTGACATACGCATTTAGCGCAGGAGTTGCAGTAGCTCTAGCTGCCACAGCTGCTGCTGCTGCTGCTCGAGCTGCCTCACATTTTAAAAATCTGCTTTCATAGGGGTTTTAACTTTAATTATTCATAGTCTGCACGAGCTATTGGTACATAGTCTAGCGATGTCTGCATGCAAATTAGCTGCCAGAATAAAAGTGCTCAAATGAAACCCAAAAGTCGACGGGCAGAACCAACTAACGAGACTTTATCACGATGTTTGCATCTCTCTGTAGGGCATCGGAGCAAACCCAGCTGCAAGTTTTTTATTCTCATCTAGCTCCACCTGGCTTCATGCTCTAATATTCTGGCCCCCATATGTGGCGCAAGTTTGGCTCAGTCAGTGCAGTTGGCTGACAACTTAGCATTTAATCTGCTTAGCTCTGGCCTCGTGGCCTTTTACTTTTGCTGCTTCCAGCTCAGCTCGGCTCATCTCAAAACTCTGTTCTAGTCGCAGACGCAAGTTTCTCAATTAATTCGCAAAACTTTTGAAACTTATGACAGCCGCTGCTACGTTGCTTTAATGCAAATTGATGGAATTGGATCATAAGTCGCGTTCAAGTTGTTGCATATGAATGTCATTAACTTTATATAAAAGCACAAAAGGCTAACAGACAGTAGAGAGAGATAGAGAGAGACACGTGTGTGTGTGGGGTTAATAAGCTGGCTGTCAGCATTTGCGACACGCTCGAGCACTCACTGTTGATGGTAATAGCACAAAGTACAAAAGTTAGACAATGCCTTAAGCCACAGCAACAAGTTTTGTGTAACAAGTTGACAAACGGCCTCCAGTTAGCGGTCAAAAGCGTTCATAAACAAACACTTTGGACGCCGCAATTGCCTCGACCAAACGGCTGACATAACCGTTAGCCGCAGTGATCAAATGTGGTCGAGAACCTGTTATCAACTATCTAAGCAGAATCACTTGCCACAAACAGACGCAAGAACTGGGGAAAAGCCAAATTGTATTCTATACCCAGCAGTTGTGGCCACGTCAAAGCGGGTAGCTCTCTCTGGACTCTTGAGACCTGACAGAGTTTCTCTACACATTTCATTATCTACTATAAGCAGTTATAATATATGTAAATACGCTTAAGTATTAAAGAGTTGTCCTGACTAAGTAATAGTAGCTTTGCTTTAGTTGTGTATCTGACAGTCATAGCGCAAATCAAAATATCCCATTTATACTTTTATTGATACCAAATGGCAATGCAAGCGGAATGCTGGGGGTTAATGCTAGTTGGCTTTGTGTACTCATATCATTTCACTTGTCATTTGCAGGGCCGGAAAATAAATTGAATTCGTAGGCCTAACTCCAATTCCAAGGAAACACAAGCCAACTAAATAATACGAGCCAATTTTCATAGTATTCAACACAAATGATTTGTATCAAATCCCTATTCGCAATTATTCTAATAACATGTTCGCTTTGTTCATATTTAATTCCTGCAGAGAAGGATTTATCTTTAATGTAAAATCCATCCAAGAAATACTTCAATCAATCAAAAGTTAAAGTCTGCCCCAAGTTCGCTCATAAAAAGAAAAAACAACGTAAAAAGTCAATTTAATTAGGCTTAAATGAGCTCCTGTCATACTCCGCAGTCTGATTAATGGCTAAATCTGGTCGGGCCTGGCATTCACCTAGCTGCTGCTCTACTCCACACAAAATTCTCGTCTATTCTTGGCTCGTGCTTGAATGTCAATTCATATCAATTTCCTGAGCCGAGCCGAGCCGAGTGGAGCCGTGCCTTGTTGGCGCGTGTAATGCAATTTCGCTGTGCGTCAAATGTGAAATGTTGTTTTCGCCAATTAGTTACCAATTTCGCCTGCAGCCGGGGCCCATTAAGCACTGATTGTTTTTTTTTTCATTTTTGGTTGTACCTTTTCGGGCGTCGGCTGCCAATCAAATTGAGTAATTTGTATGCGTGGTGTAGGCCTTGCTTTTGGCCAAAAATAACTTTAACTGCAGTCGCAAAAGGCCAAACGAAACAGAAATGCCATTTGATGCTGATGCTTTCGAAAGTTACATCTCTGCAACGTGTGCGCTCGTTAAATGGCATCCCATAAATCCAAATTGAATTGTCTTAGCTGACAAATTACGCAATCCCAGCGAATGATTTGCGGCCATCAAATTACAATGCCCAACAGCTCAATTTCGGAGTTACATGTCAACATATTCCTTGGGCAGGAGGAAGAGGAGGGGGAGGAGCGCCTCTTTCCGCGTGGAAGATTTGTCAGACAAATGTGCATATGGCCTCCATCTGTCGGATGCAAATGGCTCTCGTCAACCGGCGGCACTGCGACTGCAGTGGCAGCTTTGAAAGTTGCTGCTCATCCGTTGCTGCACGTCCTCAAAGCGAGAGTTGGAAATCAGCAGCAGACACTTATGCTACCAGTTGCTGCAAGTAAGCAAAATGAAAGTACGCTGTGTGTATGCTGAACTGAATGTATCTTGCAGATACATTTCACCAGGCCCAACCACATTTACACGCACCACCGGCCAGCACCACAGTGCGACAGTTTCAGTTACAGCTGCTTAACGTTCGGTAATCAATAGTCTCCGCATTAATGATGAGCTCTCGGTGCAGCAGTCTGTGAAATTATTAACATTTTGCAGTTGATTGATGGAAACAGCCAGAGCCAATACGAAACAAAGCGAAAACAAATAAAATTAAGTTGCGGACTTTCTTGTAGGCGCAGACTCATACAGTCAACTGACTCGAATAGAAAGTGTCATATGAATTTGTTGTTGCTGTTGTTGCAGTTGTTATTGTTGTTGTTGGTATTGTTATTGTAACCGGGTTCGATTCTCTGTTAATTGAGGTAGGCCAGCTGTTAAATCTTATATAACACACAAGCTCTTTAACAATTCAGCTCAAGCCCTAGCTCGCTCGCGCGCTTTCAATTCAAAGTCCACTCGAAAGAGAGAGATAGAGAGAGAGTGTGAGAGAGAGGTGTGAATTCGACGACAGTGAAATGTTAACCATTGACGGGGCTATTATTTTTGTCACGCTTACGCTTGCCTTAGATCTCCGCCAAATCTCATGTAATTATATAGCCGAATTAATTTTCAGCGCCGCTACAGAAAAATGACAAAAAAAACTCACTTTCAATCCGCTTAGTTTTTTAATTAGTTTACCTCTTAGATAATGCGCATTAGTTCAGTTGGTTGCAACTTGCGGTTAATTGATTTGTTTTACACATTTTACGGTTTTGAACAGCGGTGCTTACTCGGGGATTGGCCAAACTTTTGCGGAATTCCGCCAAAGAATTTGGCTCGACTTTACGAATTTCGTGGAAACTTTCGTTTTTGGCTTTTGGTTTGGCTTGTTCGGAAATTGGAGTTGCAGTCGGCGTTGGTGAAATGCCTGCAACGAGCAACTAACTAACCGACTAACCGAAACCGACCGAAAACCCGTTCACTTTGCGCCAACTCTTCGATTCATCACTCTTGGACACACTGTCAATGCAATTGTTGCGTCTTGGCTCTTTTCACTTTGCCCACTTTGCGCACATGTCTATGATTTGTCGAGATTTTTTTTTTATATATTTTCTATTTCATGTAGCATTCCTTAATTTGAATCGATAAGAGCGCGGAACAACGTGTCGATGCTATCTAAAGTGATGCTTTCATTTCCATAAATTTCGTGCGCGACCCGGCAGCGTGTTGCGACTGTCTTACAGCTCGCCAAGAGTTGGACTGTCGGGCGAAAGCCAACGGCTGTGATGTGGACGCGGCGGGTGCGATCAACCAGTTTGGCTGCCGTAACGTAACGTAAGCGTAGCGTAACGCCTTACGTCTAGCCGCCGCAGAGAGGCACAGCTGTTCGCTGTGAGTGGAGCTGCTACTGGCGCTCCACTAAGAGCAATCTCCTTCAAACCTGACATTGCCGTCGTAAACAGAGTGACAAAGTCAGCGACTAAGTGTCAGCGACAACAATTTTCTCTTTTAAACGGAAATTTAAAATGCTAATGAAAATTGCGAGTGTGAAAACCTAAACTGAGACTCCATTTAACCCTGTGGTGTCCGGGCGGCTGTTGCTTTTCAATGTCGGCAACGCCGAAGATTATAAATCTTTTCGAATTGTGCTTTATCATCGCGCACAATAAGTACCTTAGCTCTGCCCCATAGATTAACGGAAATGCCGAAGTCAGCCTGTCAGCCGGTCAAGTTGACTTTCGTTTTCCATGGGCAAAAAACGAACTGCAACTGCAACTGCAACTCCAGCGTAAAGATGCAAAAAGATGCCATTCAGCGAATGCTTTTCGAGCCATTACAGTCAATCAATTAGAATCTCTCAGACCACCCTAAGCTATAAAAGATACTTTCATGATGTTTACAAAGGTGATTGCCGTGTGCATTGCTAAAGCTATTTACTTAATGGGAAATTAGAGAGGCATCGAAGCGCTATAGGAAATGAATGCAGAAACATCATCAGTTGCGAATCGAATTTTTGGAAAAATTATTGAATCACCAAAGCAGCCCTCTCGTATTTGCATTTTAAATTTAGTTTCTCACTTATTGCATTTTAAATTTAGTTTCTCACTTTTTTCTGATTTGATATGATATGATATATTTTGCTCTTCATTTACAAAGAGTTTAGAGTCTCGTAAATAGATGAATAACACATTTATTTATTTTCCTTTATTATTCATTTATTTTCTTGATTAATAATTTTGTCGTGTTGTAAAGTGAACTTATGTGATCAAAGCTAAATACAATTTCAATCATATAATACATCCTCTGCATATGCATAATTTCATTAGGAGATTTATTTTTGGGTTTACGTTAATCTATGTAATGTCTAAGGCTCAAATGTTGCATCGATCAATCACCTTCAAAATATCTTTCGATTCAAAGCACGCAATCTAAACACGAAAGCATCAATTCAATATCCATTTCATTTAGATTGAAATAAATATTTATTTGTTATAAATATTTAGTGTGGAAAAACTGCTGAATGACATTAGTCAGCATTCGTAGTTGACAGCATTTTAAAAGTTGTCCTATGCATTAAACCATCAATTGCGGAGTTTCACTAACTAGTTCATAGACTTTGATAAATCAGTGGGGTGTAGTATTTATTTATTGGCTGGCGAACGAGTTTCTTTGGCCGGTTTACGCACGAGAAAGTCTTCGCCCAGAATTGTCCAACTAAGCGGCACATTGTTATTAATTTCTGGTGACAAACGTGGCCATTGAGCTGTGTGCCCAACGACCAGAAACTGAGTGGAGCCGACTGGCGGTTGGCCTGCTGCCCTAAACTTCGACCACAATAATTCAAAAGCTGCAAAATCAAATGGCAAAACGAAATGAAAGTTACTTAGTATTTGGAACCGCAGAATCAATAACAGTTCGCTCTCAATAACTGAAAACATGAACAAAGGCCTCGCAATGTTTTTCTTGTTTGTGGCATATTCTATGTGGGCAGGAAAATGAATTGTGGCATTAGCACGTGCAAATATTGGCCAGCTGCTGAGAAAGTGACAGAAACTCATTTAGCATGTATTAGCCAAAAGCCGACAGCGAGCAACTGGCAATTGGCAGTTGGCAAATCGGCAGGTTGGCTAAAAAAAGCACTCGAGACGCTTATCCACGGCAACTGGCATATGCTTATGAGCTTTGAAGTGGCAACTGGCGATGACTCAGTATGAGCTGGGACAGATTTGAGTCTCTTTCTTATGCTGTGGCCCGGCAACCTTTTGGCATGCATCGACGGCTTGGCAATAAGTCGTATTAGGTGCTGGCAATGAATTCTGTCAATATTAGCGAACCATTTTTTCCTTCGGTCTCTGTGCATTTCTGTTCATTAATTTCACTTTTACTCATAAATATGCTAATCACTTGATCACGCTTCAGTCGAACCGCTGGACAGCTTTGTCAAATTGATTTTCACAACAAATCATTGGACTGCTTTTTAGCTCTTAGCCAAAGCGTTTATTATCTTTGACACTTGAGGGCAGTTGGCTCACAGTCTAGTCAATTTTAGAATGCCTTGGCCGTCAGATTGAGTTACGCAATTTGCCCAAGAAGAAAGTTAAATAACTTTGCTCTCCCGCTTCGACTTTCCACTTGTCACCATGGCACCATGGCCACAGATCTCTCGAGTCTGCCGACACTTTTTAGCATATGGCTGACAACTCTCGTTAGTGACATCATTTTGCTAAGCCAAACCGGGCCACGCCCTCCACATAAACAAACACTTTCACATGACTGCAAGTGCAGAGAGTGCGGCATGTCTGCTGCTCCGATGCCCTAACTCGAAATTATTTAATTAAATTATTGTTATTATTATATGGGCAGCTCTCACCTTTTGTTGGTGCGTGTCGCTCGTCCCATTCGGGTCGCACGGGTGTTATTCACCAGCTAAGAAAAATGCGTTGTTAATGATGATGACGACTCTTCAACTTGGGCGGCAAGCCGCTTTTCCAGCCACAACAATTAACGCAATTGTCACAATATTACAATTAAAATGCCGCCACTGCCACTGGAAGTCTTTCTTATAAAGTGCTCAATCGGAGCCCTGGGCCAATTTCAATCCAAAGGGCTCAGCCACATGCCTGAGCTGAGGCGACTGTGATTGATGAGCTTCTGTCTGGCTGGCTTATCAATATACTTACATACATATTTGGCAACAGACATTAACATTTGTCCTCAACTCCAAAGTGCGGAAATGCGGATGTGAGGCAACATAAAACCAGTTGTCTCCCGGTCTCGAAGCGCTTTTCTCATTTCGGCTGTCACATAAGTATCCATATGTAGGTCCCATATACTCTCATACGTTCGCATTTATATTTATCACAGAGGGCCCACATTTGCGCCATTTAATGGCCCATTGCTCTTAACGTTATGCTTTCCTACTTGGCTGCTTGACTCCATATCAAGTCTGGCCAACGACAGCTTTAAAGGGCACCAGCCAGTGCCAAATGTTAAAGGTGCACCAGGTGTACGACAAGCCAAGCAGCTCAACGTAATGTATGTTGAATAAATCAAAGTAAGACCAGAATAATTAATAAGAAAAGAATGTCTAAAAGCGTCCATAGTCATAAATATCTAGCTAACATATAATATTCCCAATTAGCATCAAGCAATCAGCGCGATGTCTGTAAATGTTAGCAAATTGTACAACACATGCTCGAGCTATATTTTCTTTATATATTATTATCATTTCTCGAATTCATAAAATATGTATTTATATTATGTTTTCATATTGTCTTTCCAAACAGCTTTAGGGCCATCAACCTTTAGACTCTTGTTATATACACATTGCTGTAATCAAGCATGCGTATACTCTCAAAGGTGCTCTGAACTCTGCGTAGAAGAATTTAATTGGCATTTAATGCTTATATTTTCCCTGTCAGCTTCAAGTTTGGTGCATGTTTAAAAATGTATTCAAAGTTGATCAAAATCGAAATACTTACGCTAAGCACATTACGCAAGCCATAAAAGTCTTCTCGAAGACTTTAGACTAACTAGCATTTGATGAATGTATGCTTAACGAGTTAAGCTAGCAGTGCAGCTGTTCATTAAGCACGCTCGACCCTAAGCTGCTTAGCTATTGGAACTGTTGCAGGCAGCTTTAGCAGCATTTTTCATCTTTGCATTACCAAAAAGAATAAGGACAAATATTAATTAAAACATTTATTTATCTAATATTCGTTGCCATACAGCAAATACTCGGAATTCATTATGGTTGAGCTTACGCTGAGATTAAATTTAACAGACACGAAGTTAGAACTATGGACACATTGGATGTTAAGATATATTAACTATGAATTAATATATATATATTTATATAAATTTAAACCACATGGAAATAAGTTCAGTAGCGAAATACGTACAAAGCCTTAGAGTGAAAAGCGTAAATAGGAACAAAGTGGAATATTTACTCATACTATACATTAGTTTATATATATATTATATATATATTATTATTATTATTATTATTATTATTATTATTATTATTATTATTATTATATATTACGCATATGTAGTTATCGATGCTTACATCTCTAGGGAGTTGTGTGTTTATCAATTACCCGAAATTTAATTGAAGGGCTCGTTCAATTAAATCACAGTATTTGATGAAACCTAAGTGTATTGTGTGCTTACGTGATGAATGACACTTAAGTATGTACAATATGAAGTTATATAGTATCTATAAATACATCTTATAGCTGCCAGATACGCTTACGCATAATTATCGCGCCTAGACTTAAATGTAGGTCAGCTTTGCTTTCAATCAGTCAACATTCGTACACAATATTCGTAAGTCTCTTAAGCTAATTTTAAATACAAGGCTTAAATTTAAATTTAAATTTAAATTTGAATTGGGATTATAGTTGCTGCACGGCTCCTTGGCTCCGGCGCTTAGAGTTCTGGATAGTTCAGCTGGCATTGCCCGCCCAGAGGGGAGAGTGAGATGCAGTGAGCTTGAGTTCAACGCTGCAAATTGCCATTTTAGTTTTGTTGCTAAGCTGTAATTGTGCACAAATATTGAAATGGTCTCTACGAAAAGCACATCAGATGCACTTTTGTTTACTTGCGTCTTAATAAATGAAAAATGATACAAAATCTCTAATGCAAATGCATGCAACCTGCGGCTCTTGTTTATGAAACGTCTTGCATGCAAATTCAATTATCTGGGAGCTTCGAAACTCCGGCATGCCTGCAATAGGGTCTGTGTTTCGTATATTTATTTATAGATACATATATGCACACATGTATACGTACGACAAAACACAGAGACCGGATTGCTTAGGCGGAGATTGACTTGGGTTAGTATTATGCGGATTTGTTGACTGTTTACGGCGGCGCCAGGATGATCAGCTCCGACGGCATGGGATTCTCAGTGAGTGCCACAGATTCCGTTACGGCGCTGCGCGTTCCATTTCGTATGTTAAAGTCGGTGGCCGCAAAGCTCACACCGCCGAGGCAGTCGCCGTCGGAGGTCGCCATGCCCCGCTTGGCACTCTTACCCAGCAGCTGCAGCTCGCCCTTGGACAGGTCGGCTTCGTGTTTGCGGCGTCGGCGCGTCGCAGCTGCCTGGACGTTGCTGCCTGTCGTGTGACCATGGAGAGCAACATTAGTGGATTCAGAGCAACGACACAAGAGTTCTTGAAATTCTTTACGGAAGTTATCGTTGAGCCATCCATACAGCAGCGGATTCGAGCAGGCCGAGCTCATGCCAATCATGTGGCAAATGGCATACGCAACTAGCATTCTCTGCGTGACGGCCGACGGCCGTTGCATGTCCGCGTACAAATTGATGAAGTTCAGCGGCAGCCACGAGACCCCAAAAATGATTGCGATGCTAATCAGCAGGCGATTTGTGCGCTGCATACGCCTGCCCCGCTCCGTTTTCCGCTGCGACGAGCACTGCACGGCGACCACGGTGATGCGGCTCTTCAGCTTGTTGTAGATGCCAAAGTAGGCAATCGACACAATCACTATGGGCACCAGATACTGCACGCACAGCGAAAAGATCGAGTAGTAGAAGCGGCCATCGCTCAGCGGCCAGTCCTCGATGCAGTACGATATCCTGTGTGGCACACCGAACTTTTGCAGCACCAGCGGCATGTCCATGTTTATCAGCTGCTTGTAGATGAACAGCGGCGAGGCCAGTATCAGTGCGAGGGTCCAAATGCCGACCAATATGGTGACAGCTCCCACGAACTGCAGGCTGTCCCGCGTAGGATACACAATTACCTGGCCAAGGGGTGAGGAATTAGTGTGGTAAAAGGGGAGAAATTCATAGATATGAACACTTATACATCGACCCCAAAGCACTTTGACCCACCTAACTCCATAATTAAAAGCTAACTATGAACATCAAGTAACCCATATAGCCTGACACGTGTATTGAAGCTAAAATAATTCTGCTTTGTTCAGCGCTAATCGAAGATCTAAAAATAATATTTAAAAGTTTTATCTATATATTTACGGAATATAAAAAGCAAGTGCTTAGGCAAAGATAAAAGGAAACAGGCAACAGGAAGCAAAGTTTGAAACTTGTGTCCAAGTTAACATCGGAATGTCTAAACTTTTGCCGCCCACTTGGAGGGGATAAAATGCTATCAGGAACTGTTGTTTTCTGGCTTAACGATGGCCCCATCAGTTTTATAGTTATCTTTGCTAAACCTTTCGCCACATTGCTCCCGAAACACAATTTCCTTCACGCTCTTTGACTTTTGATTAGAAACGACAAAACACTTCAAGGTCCCCTCTATCGATTTTCGGATGTTGTCATAGCATTTGGCAATGATTATGGTTAATGTACAACAAAGCTACTAACCTGATATCTGTCGAAGGCAATGGCTGTTATGGATATGGTGGACACGAAGATGCTCAGGGCCTGCAGCGTGGCAATCGTTTTGCACAGCGTGGCACAGGAGCCGTATGGCCAGAACTTCGAAAGGAGTTCCATCAGTGTCAGCGGCATGGTAACTAAGCACAGGAGCAGGTCTGCAAATGTCCAACGAGCCGCCATCGCAAAAGTGAATTTTAAGTTACATAACACGTAGCAAACACACACGCACACACACGCACACGACATTGGCAACTCACCCGAAATGGCCAGATTGAGAATGAAGAGGTTGCGGGCCGTGCGCATGATTGGTTTACGCAGCACTGCAATTACCACCATTATGTTGCCCATGGCTCCGAATACAATCAATACACCGTACATAGCGATTAGCAAGTGGTACCACGGGCTTCCGATGGAGCGGTTGTGCAGATATTGGTCCATCAGCACCGGGTCCATTCCTGCGGGCACATAGCTCCCGTTATTTGTGCTGTTCAGCAGCAACATAGTCATGTTGGGCTGATTGTTGTTGCTGCTGCTGATGCTGTCGTCGTCGTAGTTGTTAAGTTTGTCGTAGTTGTTGCTCCTGCTGTAAGCTACGCCTGCATTAAAGCCAGGGTAATTAACCAAATGTCGACTTTCGCCAATCGTATCAAAATTGACGTCGCTCGAAAGCACTTTAAACAACTCGGCTGAGCTAAGGATTTGGCTGCCAAGTTCACTGCGATTCATGGCGATAATCTGTGAAAGAAAAAGAAGAAAGCAAACAGCCTTTTAGTCAGTCCCACCAAAAAAAAGGTCATTCCTCAAGGCTTTGCGTGTGTGCTAAGCGTGATTTAAGTGCTGCCTCTAACGCACATGCCACACGCCCGAAAACAGGGGCAACGAGTTTGACTAAAAATATGCAGCCATCCCCCTGAAGCCAAAGCAAAAAGGATATGCAGTGCCAGCCGTTCGGTTTATACCAAAACTTTTTGCCTCTATTGCTTTTTGACATGAGCCAAAGGAATTGAGCCTTGACGGTGATAAACCAAAAGCTTAGCTAGTCTATAAAACTTTGCTAGTTTTTTAATAAGACTTAAGGCTAAGTTATGACATATTATTTTACAATAATAAAACTAAAGCATTTGGTTTCTCGTCGTTTGCCGCTTGTTATATTGCCAAGCAAACTGCTTGGCAATCTATAATTATAGTTAAGACATATCAACAAAGCAAGAGAGAAAACTGATTTTAATTAAAAAAGTTTCCCTTGCGGAAAAATGAAGCCTGCAAACATTTTTTCCCTCTTATACCTAGCACTCACTGTTCAGTAATCTGTATTAAATTTATGCAAACAACAGCATCGAAAATATGTGACATATGACAGCACTTCAAATACCCTGCCACGCTTCCCTGTCAAGCAAACATCTCTCAGCTATGATCACAATCATAACCATTAAATTATATCTATGTCTTTCATATAGTTTGCAAGCGAAATATGCCGATTTGATTTCTCTGTAGGTTAGAGCATTGGCAGTCGTGGATGCTCGACTTATCGCCATTATTTCCGCTTCCTAGTTGGGCGTGAATTTTATAATTAGCTTTAGATTTCTATGAAATGGTTGAAGCTCTATTTACATCATTTGCGTCATCAATTATGCGAGGCCCCCTCACTGACGGCCCAACTAAAGCTCTGTTTTAAATTAAAGTTCCATTTTGATGTGTTGCTATGCCGAACATTCGTGCTACACAAACAATGTTAAGTGAAGTGACGGAGATGCGGACGGCACTCGAGTTATTTGAAGTGTTGCGTATACGCAATGAGGCCGCTTCTCATTTTTATCGCAGACAGGCCGTCAGTTAGAAGACATTCGATTTGTACTTGGGATATAAATGAAGACAATTGCTTAAGATAATTGCGTAATTTTATGCACCAGATGAGTGCGCACTTATCAACATCAATAAGCCGAGAGCTGCGAAACAGCAACGCATTATTCAGATTCCCCAAAGTATGCAGCACAATCGGTTGATGCGATTAATGTGCCGCCCATAAATCAAGTGTTGGTTGGTTGCTTCGCCTGACTCGAGGGACTCACGGCCATCCCAAAAGAGTTAATGTGGGTACAGTTTGTAATCGCTGCTCATCTGCAGCGCTCTACAAATAGAAATATTGATTCGCATTCCCTCGGCTCAGCTGCTACAAAAGTCGCTCAAAAAATGCAATTTTAAAGTGCGCTAGAGAAAACACAATTGACAAATTCTTGCCCTCTGCAGCGGCTACAAAGTTGACCAATAGATTCACTTTCATTAAAGATTTTTACTGTCTGGGGCTTTGTAAACGATTCGCAAGAAAATAAAAAGAACAAAATATTTACAATTGTTAGGAATGTTCAACAAGACAACAGTAGAATGACAAAGTTTGGTACAAAGTTTGACCAATTGTTTTTAGGGGTATTTTCTTGGGGCTCAGTTAGTCATTTCGTGAGAATCGCATAGATGGGCGACAGGATAGAAATTGAGTTTTCATGTCGGCAAAAGCGCTTCAAGTTCTTTCTAAAATTTTGTTTCAGTTTCTATCTTTGAGTCTGCTTTTTACATTAGCTCTTGCTTAACTGTAGCTTGTGGGGACCTTTGCGAAATGACTTTTTCCAAAGTTGATGACAAGGAAATTATGTAAAGTAGCCTCAAGTTCATAGAACTTGTCATGAATTTGAATAATTCTCAAGCTGTCAGCATTGCCGACGCGTTGTGTGGCTCTATTTGCATTTCCACCCAGCCACAACCAACTCCATGTTAAGCTGCGTGATAAAGATAAAGATTTTAAATGTCACAAAAAAATTAAAAATAGAAATAAAAATAAAAATAAAAAAAATATATATAAATGAAATAAAAATACAAATAAATAAGGCACCCTCAAAAAAAAAAAGAAAAGCAAAATAAACAAAATGTTAACCCATTTTTCTTTCTGGTCCTGCCATTTTTAGCTCAGTGGCGTTTGTGATTTATCTGATATGCTGGCAAGTGTGCGTGGGCGGTGTTTCGTTTTCGATGCTATTTCTACAGCCTTTTAGAGCCCAGCAGTTGGCTTAAACATGAGAAATGTCCCAATTTGATGCGGGAAATGTAATACATTCATTCGTGTAGCTGGAGCACTTGAATCGACGCGACTTATTAATTGGCTGCGAACGTGTTTGCCTGTTAGGGAAAATCCTTTTCAGATTGTCGTAAAAATGATTTTTATGTTTTACCAACAATTAATTCAATTTCGACTGGGCCAACAATGTGCATTGACAAATTGGATTTGGCCCAACGTGAAATCCCATTTTGTGGTTGCAAAACGCAAAAAAATTGTGAAAAAGAGTTTTTAACGTCTAACTAAATGAAGCTCAACTGGAAGTTAATTAATTAAATTTAAAGCAGCTTCCATGAGCATCTACGTGCCGCTGTCCAGCTGTCAACTTGTCAGAGGCTCTATGAATGTACAATGAAATTATGCCAACTGCCATATGGCCAAGTATGTTTTGGGATGCCCTACCAAGAAAGGCAAATAAATTGCAAAGTAAGCGAAAAGTTTTCGCCTTCTGTTGAAAAACAAAAGTTGAATTATATTTCCAGCTGACATCTCATTCGGGAGGGCTTCTTGGCAAGTATTTATATTGCAATTACAGATATAATATATTCTCTCTATCTCTCTCTCTCTCTCGAAGTCTGTCTACTTTATACTGCCAACTGCCACTAAGTATGCGTTATTAGCTGCAACTATCTGTAACTGTCTTGAGCAGTTGTGGCACTTGCTGTTGTCACTAGCATTTGTCTCTGGCTGCTGGCCGGACACATTCATTTAACTTGCAACGTGAAATGCACGCAAGGGACTTGTGTCTTATGCCTGAAGCTGTCGCTGCTGCTGTTACTGTTGTTGTTTGTCCTTTTGGCTTTTTGCCTTAATCCGTGTCCTGCCATATTTTACTTCAACTGCAAGGCACAGAATGGCACTTGTGCTGCGAATGATGTTATTCCAAACATTTCAAATAAATCCCTGCATGTTGCGAGCAAATAAGAGGATTTCGCTCTAAGACTTCCGAGGTCTTCCACATAGGGGATCTCCGGGATCTATATATTATTATATGTATGCATTCAACTCTCAGCTTCTAATTTTTATTTTCTAGCAATGCCATAGAAATATATATATGTATAAGTACATATTCTATTGCGTTGTATAAAGCTGTCATGTTAGCAGCAGGCGACAAGTTAACAAACTGTGAAAATGCATTTCTTTGACATGTCAAATAAAATGGAAAATACTTACATCATTGCCTGGCGTATGGCGAATGGCAACTGGCGACTGCTGAATGACGCTAAACGAATTGAAATTCTTGCTGAGTTTTAACTTTTCTTGTTTGCATACAATTACCTCGACAACAGCGACAGCACTTAGCTAAACTACCTTATCCACTATCCACTATCCACTATCTACTATCCTCATTCAAATTAACACTCACCTAATATAATTAAGGCACTAATGGCAGCATGTTCTACTCCTGCGAGCTCATATTAATTTATTAGCAGCGGTGCCTGAGCTACGCAATTGTGGAAGCTAAAATATTATTACAATTTGCGAAATTAATTTTTAATGAAGTTTCATTAGGGATAACTATCATTGAAATATGCCAGCATTTTAACGTGTATTGAGGAAGTCCACATAACGCTCATTCTTAGATCAGCAGCACGGGCAAGTGCTTTCACAAGTGTGGCAAAGCTATCAAAGCAAATATTTATAATTAGCAGAAAGCTTAAGTTGCCATGTTCAAATTCCAGTTTGGGATTTAAGCTCGATAGGGGCTTCATTGTTTTGTTGACTCTAATTAAAAGCCTGTATTTTATCAAGAATACTGCAGTGGATAGCTGCATAATATTAATTCGTGGTTCAGAAACAGCTCAAATTATTTAAGAATCAATATTTTCAAATGGGAGTGACACGAGCATTCGAAATATCACTTAATGGAGGTGGTCCAAATACTAATTTAAATGCTGATGAAGCTTTATAGCGTAGTGATAGTTGTAGATAGCACACGAGTAAGTACTCTTTTCTCCAAATAATAAAAAAAATTTCCATTTATTTTGGCAATTAATTACTTTATACCCTGCAACATAAATGCCATAACTTAAGAGCTGTTGAAGATAATGTTTTGGAATTTTACTCATTATTTTTAACACGCTCAGCGACACGGACAAATCTCAGAAATCAGATATTAGATACTCTATTTAGATTTTATTTAGTTTAATGGCTTTCATAGAAACAGAGAGACGAACTGGCGGACATAAGGATGAGCAGCAGATGGTCATTGCCCAAAATTAAAAAAAATTTAACGTCTTTACGTTAAACCATATTTTGCACAAATTATCTCTTGGATTTCAGTTAAATGATAAGAAGCTACCTTAAGGCAAAACTTTCGTACTCAGAAATGTTCACTTTAAGAGCTTGGCTTGCTCTCAGCCTCATTCACAACGATTTTTGTTCAACTCAACGTATTTGTTGAATATTTTATAAAGAAAACTAAATTTTCAGGTACATGTCTCTGGCATTAGCACATTTTAAATAACTTTTGTTTCTTTACCTCAGGGAATTCAAGCAAAAGCAAACATTTTTCTGATAAACTTTGAAAATCTTGAAAACTTTTTAATTGTTGATTTTAGGCATCCGCTAAAAGCAGGCATTTTTCATTAGCTTAATGGGTACAGAACAGAGATATTATTGCACAATTAGTTCTTATTGAAAAACATTAATGCTTGACGTTTCTCTCAGTTTTCATAATTTTTCTCAAGCGAAATGCTTTTAGCTCACTTAAATGAATTTCCGCTCTTCATTTCCGCAAATCCACATTAACCGAGCAGAAAACCACCCGCAGACAGTTTGTTTTCCATTATTTGGCACTCTGCATAAATTCCGGCACTCAAATTTTATTCCGCTTGAGTTACAATTTCCTTTCAAGATTAGCTTTTCTTATATTTGGGCCAATTTCCACTAGTTTGTGTAATGCGCACAGATAGTTACAATCGCAATGATGAGGTTTGCCTGCCGCACACGTCGCTTCGCATTACGAGCGATTCCCATTTTGATTACACATTTGGCACTTGGGCAGAGAACAGAATACAAATTCGAATAGATACTCGAGTACACAAAACAGAATTCACAATTCACAATTGGAAAAGTGGCGTCCGGACTGTTATTGGCAAATATCCGCGTACCACTCGAGGTCTTCTCTGAAAATTTCACGCCTTCGATTTTTTAATGGCGGCGAATGCAAAAACAAACAAAAAACATTTTCACACATTTCGGTGGATTACCTTTTCTTGATTTGTACAATCATTTTCCAACTGCGAACATTATTCGTATAAATATTCAGCATTCTGAATATTTATAAAATATATTTATTTAGAATTATTTTTTCAATTTTTTTTATATGTTTTGCTTTGATTTCCACTTTTAATTACTTAGAGCGTTCCAGTTGAGATTTGTCGATCCCGATAACTCGGCGGGTGAACAGCCGGCGACCATCTGTTGGCTTTTAGCGCACAGTCCTAACTTTTATAGCGTTGGCCCTAAACCAATTTGGAAGCGTCGAGTGCTGCTCGTTGCGTATACGCTGCGTGAGCCCGAACTTGCAACTGAACGTGCCGCGCACGCTGTCTGCTTAAAGGCGAATGCTTTCGGGTTTGTTTTGGACCAACAGCTGTGCGAGCTTTCTTATCATCGCAGCTAGGGGTTGAAGCTGCCCGAAAAGCTGTCAGCACAGTGAGGCAAAACCTATTATTCTGATGGCTCACAGCATTTATTACAGGTATATAAATAAATAAAATTTGTGAATTTATATAAAAATATCTACATAAAATCCTTCATTGACTAATATGGATTAGTGTTAAAGTAATACATGAATGCTTTCACTGCTCATCGAGCAGCCCCTTGGCATCGAAAAAGGGCAGCAATTGCTCTACAATGCGCTGCGCTCTGTCACTCTCGTATATCGAGTCCTGAAAACTAATGGCCTCCGGGGTGTCCAAGTACAGCTTACAGAAGTCGGGACTCTCGTTGCCGGTATATATCATAAGAGGTTGAAAGACCAAACCAATTATGACGCCTGCATACATCAAGAAGATCTGATATCAGAAAGCAATTCATAAATATTAAATAGCAATCGAGCACTTACAAAGAAATCTGCGTCGCTCGAATTGCAGTTGGAGTTGCAGCAAGCTAGGCACCTTGCCCTCATAGTTAAACTGTTGCAAGGCACGTTTTAAGGCATAGTAATAATACTGAACCAGCTCCGTTTCTCTGGCCCGCACCTCCTCTTGCAGCGAGGTGCTGAAAAAGTAGTGCAGGTCCACGACTGGAGAGGTGAGGGTGCTGAACTGAAAGTCTATGGGCAACACTGTGATGGGCTGGCCTCTCGCATCGTATTGGAACATAATATTCGTAGTCCAACAGTCCCCATGGGTTAATACCTGGAAATCTTCGTCTGTCACATCGAACACTCGTGCGGCGTACTCCATGAGGTTGGCCAAAAGACGCTCCAGCTTGTCATAGTAGCCCGCTGATAGCTTGGGCTGCGTCTTCACGTAACGCATGAGTCCCTTGAAGAGGGTCGTAAATAACTTTGAATAACCCTTGGGTCCGCGACTGAAGAAACTGATATTAAAGCCCTGAGCAAACAGCTCGGGATGCTGTTGCCTGAGAATCAGGGATGAGGCATGAAACTTGGCCAGCATTTGGAGAGTCAGCTGAGTGTGTGGCAAATCCAGCTGCTTCACACGATCCGCATTCTTATACTTGAGCAGAGCTAGGTCCTCCAGCAACATGATGCCATGCTCCCTATCGATGCACACGGCCTCCGCGTGTAGCTTATCCTCGATGCCCACCTCTCGCAGCAGCTGCTGCATCCTGGGCAGGATAAACTCATATATATCCATCTCGCGCGTATATACGCCGTATTCGGCAAACACGCTCGCCTGGGGAGTATCGTCTGGGCAGCCTTCCTTTAACAAATACGTGCGCTGCTCCACTGCACCACCGGTCAGCTCGAATTCTGCATGAATGCGCGTCACCACGCCCACATAGTTTTCGCCCTTGCCCGTGGCTGCATTTGACCACAATTTGCGGACACTCAGCTGAGGATCCTTGTGGAAAGCCTTCAGCCGAATTTGCATATAATCCTTGGTCAACCAGCTGGGTAAGTCGCAGCTAGCCATGTTGTGCCGCTTGATGCTTGAGAACTGAGACAAGCTCACAACAGCGATCTAGCTAATATAATGACGCTCTATCTTATCACGTCACTTCAGTCTTTATCATTATATTACGGGACAACTAAAAAGTAAAGTGTGCCGTTAATATACTATATTTAACCATATTTAAATGACCCGTTATAAGTTTATGTAACCAAAGTAAACGCGACGGCAAAAGTATATACACTCCCTGCCCCCTGCCCACAGCATTACGCAGCTAATTTACTTATCTCCAATTATATTGCCTAGAAATGAGCAGCAAGATGAACTAGCTAAAACATGTTGCCTTAGGACTGCAGCTGAACTCTCTCACTGAACTGATAATTTCTGTCTGAAGATATATATATTTTATATTAACTAGCCGAATGAGCTCTGTGTAGCAGGAGATGTTTTCACTGATGAAATAGATTAGAAATGCTAAAGTTCTTAACTGAAAATATGCCAACTTCCAGCAGACATTTTATATAAATATGTTATTGCTGTAGCCTTCATTTATCATTCTTAAGTGCTCTCTGGTGAGCATGCTTCACATAGCTCATCAGTTTCTTCAAATTCGAGTCATTGTAAAAGGTTTCAGCCAACCATTTGACTGCATAGAAAACATTTCTATTGAATCATTATTGGACAGCTCGCTTGGCCAAGGCTTGGCAACAGTTGCTGCTATAAATTTAGCTGCTGGGGTGGATCACTCAACACGTTGCCCACCTCCTGTACGGCGCTTATCATCTGTGTTTGCCGGACGCTTAACTACGTGGCTTCTGATGGCTGCCACAAATGGGCGCAAACAGAGGCGGACTTCGAGATATTGGGTAGTTGTGTAGTTGGGTTCGTGGGCCGTGCAGCAGCTGCAGCCACAGCAACAGCACCTTCTAAATCATATTTATTTAGCTTAATCATTTACATATGTACAGGCAAGATAGCGTCGAGGCAGTCTGTTAGTCAGCTAGCTGCAAGTTTTATTTATGTTTTAATGGGCACCGCAGCGATACAAATAATATAAACATATTGATTTTGCTGCTGGTTGCGTAGTTTCTGTCTTCTGGGCCACTTTTTCGGCAGCCAAAGCAAATTGTTGGGTAAACAAAAGCGTTTCGCTGATAAGGCGTAAGTAAACACGCACCCCCCCCCCACCACAGCACCACTCCGCCAACACGTCGGCATTTTTGAGCAACAGTTGCGAACATTTCGTTTATTAAATACTTTCTATTACCTATGTAAATTAACGTTTATTAAGTTAAAAACAATATCAACGACGGCGACGACGATGATAATTTCACTAGGGGCGGGAACAAATCGTTCATGTGGCAGAGGCCTCACTGTATACGCTTGCTAATCGTATCCAAATAGTTGTAGCCATGGTAGGGATTGCTCGTCCTTGACCAGTCCTTGCTGTAGCCGTTCACATTGACCTCGTGCGGACTGGACGGATTGTAGCTGTTGGAGAAGCTGCTGCCCAGGAACTGTGAGTAGTCCGCCGGATCGGAGTCGTAGACGTGCGAGTGGCTCTGCACCAGATGCGGATGAATCTTACACAACGTCTTGTACTTCAGATAGTGTATCAGCCAGCCCGTGCCGCCCACCAGCAGCACGTTCATGCCCAGCACGCCGAGCAGCAGCGTGACCAAGGTCATCTTCAAGTGAGCTATTTTCATCAAGATGATCAGCGGCAGCAGGATCAGCCACTTCTTCTTCTTGCGAGCGCCGCGCGCATCTAATTGGAGGAAGGCGTTAATTAACTCGACTTCTGAATTCAGCTCTTGCTACTCACCACCCTCATCCATTACGCGGGCGGCTGTGCCTTTCGGCAGCGCCAGCTGCACCCCATGATTCCGTCCGAAAGTCTCAACGGCGCGTTTAAGGAACTTGAAAATATTTAACAGTTCACTGTCGCCTGAAAAAACATATGAAATAAGTGCGTAAGCAATTAGTGCCAACAGAAAATAATTGTTTATTGATTTAAGTGCTATTTGCTAAGCGCGCAAAACTGTTAGAGAGAAACATATTTGTCGGCAATGACGAAGATTGAATACACTTGCAGACCAAGGGCGAGGTAATTGAGATTAAAGCAAGAACATATCGCCTGATATAGTATATATTCCTTAGGTTTACGCTGCTCTAACTAAAGGATAACTAAAGGATATAAAAGTGCTCTTTGCACAGAATAACTTTCACAGAAATACAGACCTCTGACAACATCAAGTCAACTATTAACGAAGTTTATATAAAAATTATTTCATATCTTCACATATGCCAGCTGCCTCCTGCACCATGCAAAAATGGGAAGAGCCTCGAAATGCCCTATGCTAAGATACATAAAAGAAAGCCAAGTTGCGTGGAAATTAATTAATTAGATGAGCGATAAACATCCGCAGGTGTTTATCACTATTGAGAACCGATAAATCGTGGGCAATTCACTTTAGCCTCTATACGATGTTTGCAGTCCAAACAAAGTGATTGCTGCTGTTGCTGCTGGTGAAAACAATGTGGCCAATAGGCCGATCTCTCGCCACGAGCTGCGCATAAAGCTTAGCTGTTAATTGCCTTTGCTCTGGCTACCACTTTCCCATTCGAATGAGACCCACCTGCCAGGCTCTTGGCGTCGCTGAAGACAACAATGTCTTCAGCCGGTTCGCTGAGCTGGACGAGACGCAGAAAGCGTGGCTGCTGCTCGCCCAGCGCCCGCTCGTGCTCGTTGGGGAAAAAGCCCATGCCGTTGGTGGCCAGCTTCCAGATGAGTTTTGATGTTTTATACTTGATGCAGGACACCAGATTGCGCGTCTCGAAGCACTGGCGCTGATTGCGCGCTATGTAGATATCACTCTGGCCAAGCAAGGAGCCGCTAGCGCGTGCCGTTTCGACATTCACTTGGGAAGTGGGCTCGGGCGCTGGAGATGAGGATGGGTAGGGGGAGGGATATAAAGGTGCCTCTGGGGCTGCGGCTGCTGCTGCTGCCACTGTTGCAAACACCTCCTGTGTGCTGCCGAAATGCAAAAGCAGCAACAGCACCAATGCCACATAAGCAGCTATGCCCCAGCGAGAGAGCGACATATTGCTTGGATAGTTGTAAGTCTTTTGAATCTCGCGCACTGTCAAACACCACCGCACGGCTGGCCGAGTGAAACACAAATGGAAACTGAAGGCGACCGGGTACTCCTTTTATCACAAAGACTCAACCGCATGCCGGCTAACGAGCGGCTGGCTTGGCCACAAAGACACGGCGCCACAGCCCCATCCACATCTAATGCTCATGCAGCATGCATCAAGCGGCATGCACCGGAATTGAGATTCCTGCTTGTCAACAGCAGCAAGAGCAGCAGCAGCAGCAGCAACACAAACTGCTGCATCCAGCTCACAGTCAAAGTCAAAGTCAATGCCGAAGCCAGTGCGTCGCTTTCTGGGTCATAGCCAGAGCTGAGAGCGTGTTTCGAGGCGATCATTGAATGAGCCAAAGCATTCACAGCAAATTGAATCGCGTTCGTCGTCGTTGTCTGGATTATGAGCCAGCGACCGGCTCAATGCCTTCGTACAGCGTGCGACTGAAAGCAAAAGCCACAAACGTGAACGCCAAACGAAAGTGAATCCCGTACAGCCAACAGATACTCTGGCACACGAAACGCCTTGGCGCCATTCGGGCCTTGGCCTAGCAATGAGCGCAGCAGTTGCGGCTGCGGAGATGCCATGTAAATGATAGCAATCAGAATAAGTGCGAATGCATTTAAGTGAGATTAACCCGTATGCAGCAGCAATACGTATCGACTGCATATGGGCGTACACTGAGAAAAGTGCACTATATGGAATACTAGTCGACTCTTGTATGAAACATTTGAAACCTGAACATAAACAGCTTGAGTATAGCTTTGACATAGGCTAATATTGTGTAGATCACAGAAGAAAATTTAAATAATTGATTTGGGCATTATATTTAAATGGAATATATACTCCTAATATATAATATAATTTAAATAAATTAAATTTAAAAGAAAATTCTAATATTTTCTAACAATTTGAAAACCAATCTCTTCTTAGTCTAAGGTTAAGAAATAATAGAAATAATAGTATAGCTTTGACATAGGCTAATATTGTGTATATCACAGAAGAAAGTTTAAATATAATTAATTTGGGGATTATATTTGAATGGAATATATACTCCATATATATAATATAATTTAAATAAATCAAATTTAATAGAAAACTCTCATATTTGCTAACAATTTAAAAACCAATCTCTCTTTAGTCTAAGGTTAAGAAATACAGCCAAACACTGGAAAGAGCAAAGCCGCTGTTGATGAACTAACAAAGCTTCTTCTTTGTTTTATAAATTTTAATTAATTATTTCTATTCATATTATTAAGTAGGGAAACAATTTGATTTATTATTAAATAGCAAAAGTTCAGCGTTCAGCCTAGATGTTACCCAAGCAGGGCAAGATTTCAGCACAAGTAAATTGATTGTTTCTCTCAGTGTATCCGACAGATGTGCGCATTTGCGGTTGCTCAGCTTTAGCATCGGCGTGTAATTTGCATATTTGTACGAAAAAGTGTGCTTCAAATTGTTGCGAATTATGAATCGCTTCAGTGCGAATAAAATCAGAGCCGTAGCTGGGGATAGAGTTCGACTCGAAGTGGCAGTAGCAGTCGCAGTCGGAGTCGGAGTCGGAGTCATTGCATCTCTGACCGTCTTAATTAACAAGCAGCCAACGTTGCCACGCGAAAGTTGTTGTTGCTGTTGATGCTGTTGCAATTGTGATTTGTGCTGCTGTTGCCCCTGTTGCATTATTGACCAGTGAAAGTAACAATTGGCGCAGTTTGTCCACTGTTTTTATGGCGTGCTTAGCATGTAGCTGGTGTATTGTCCACACTGTCTCTCGCATTCTCAGCCAGCTAATTAATTAGTCACTGTCTACGGCTGGCCCCAATGGTCATGAGGTAATCCCGTATGAACTGACTTATAGAAGGTATCATATTCCAGCGTCAAGCATATTAGATTTTGTTACTTTGGCAGCTGCTGGTAGAAAGTTTATTGGCAATTGTTGTAAACATTGTTTTTAGCCAGCCCCAAAATAGTTTGCTCGAGCCGCAACTTGGTCAAAACTTAGCCAACAATGATGATTGGCCTCAGATCAAAGTCGATTGAGCTGATGGCTGCATATCAAATCATGTGGCACACGCAAACGTGCGAGCATTTCAAGTGGCCAACTGCCCCACGCCGAAAAACTACTTTTACGAGACTCAGATGCCATCGAGCTGAATGCACAATTAAACAAATTAAAGCCGAGAGGACTTTGCCCCAAAGGCAACTAGCCAACTAGCCAACTAGCCAACTAGCCAACTAGCCAGCCAGCCAACTAGGCAACTAGCCAACTGAGCAGCTGGTAACCGGACGGTCATTTTATTATATTGCCAGGCTTGAGGCTTATTAGTGTTTCCGCCAACGAGAGTTTGACTAATAATTATGCTTGTTTCGGAATAAAAAAACAGTGAAATTTTGCTGATTGATCGGGTGATTAAAATCCGTCATCAAATTTCAATGTCAAGATCATCTAAGCAGATGTTAAATTCCATATAAACACAGAAAGCATGGCTAACATAATTGGCAAAAAAATCAATTGGGTAATTAAAATCACATTTTATGGGGAACATCCTGGTCTATTAATTTAAGACTAATTGAAATATTTTTAAGTCATTTTCTGCGTTGGGCGATAGAAATTAGGCAGATTGCCTTTGTCTTTTCAGCTCAGCTACGAATTTTATGCCAAATAAAATTACTCACACTCAACCTTTCTATCCTAAACATTCCATACTTAGCTGCATACCGAGAAAATTAAGGCTATTCGAGATGGCAAAAGCAACAAAAAGCCCAGCTGAGAGTCGAGGATAAGAGGAATATGTTTACTGTATAATATACTAAATAAGATAAATATAAAAATAATATAAAATCTTTAAATCAAATAAATTCTTTAAAGCAATATTTTCAAAATTTTATACCAATGGAACTATTTAGATTTTGAATCATATAATTTCATTTAAGTCATATGTTTTAATGACTTAAATTAATTATAATTATCAAATGAAATAAAAGTAGTTTACTAATTGAAAACATTCAATATGCTGCATTTTTAAGACAGTAAAGAACTAACTGTAAGTTCTGTTATATCAATTTATATATCTATCAACGTGGCATACATATATATTTCTTGTAAACTTTTAAGAGTTAATCAAAAAAAGAAAACTTAACTAAGCTGAAAAGCAAAGCTCATTTTGGTTTGCGTCTACGCTAAAAGTAACATCAATGAATGTAGAGTACATTTACAACTTTTGCCATTTACCTTTGTAGACTATTTTCTGTGGAGTATATTTAACTCATCACTGGTTGTTGTATTCGCTAGTTGAAGTGTATACAAGTACCAAGTACCAAGCACCAAGTACAAACCATGCGAAGCATGGTTTCTGAAAATAATAAAATAAGTATGTACAGCAACCAATTAATTATAAACAATAGATGGCGCCATGGCTCAAGTTCAAACTATGAAACATTCTAAAATTTGACTTTTTATTATGCAAACTAACTGTGGCTTATTTAAATGTATATTAATCTAAATAACATAGCACTTATATCACTGAAACAATAACTGACTTACAGACAAATTATAATACCATATTTTTGCCACTCCTAGCCCGCAAGAGACGCATGATCAGCGAGTTCTTATCCAGCCCATATATCGAGGTCTGATCGCTTTGTGTGCTCATCGGCTCGTCCGACAAATAGTCCACGTTGGAAGTTGTTGATGGGTCGCTTACAACCGTATCTTCACTTGTCGTTGTTGTGGTTGTAGCTGCTGTGGTTGCGGTTGCCTCCGCTTCATCCGCTGTGCTTAGATCCAGACTCTCGCTGGTAGCCACATCAAAGATGCTGTTCGTGGACAGATCTGTGGAAGATTCCTCTGCATCCCGCTCAGATGTAGTGTCTTCAGTGCTGAAGGGTGCCACTGTTGTCGTCGTTGTAATTGTGATTGGTGGTGCTGTGGGCGTGGCATATTCAGTTGAGGGAACCGTGGGCTCTGTTGTGGATGCCCGCGTGGTTGCTAGTGTGGTTGCTTCACGTGTGGTGGATTCCGTTTCAACTGCATTTGCCGTTGCCGCTGTGCTGTCCATCATAAAGAGTATTTCCGTATCGGCTTCGATCTCGCCAAAGATTTCCGCCGCAGATTTCATATCGAAACTGAGCAAATGCGCATTCGCAATGCCCTCAAGTGTGTTAAGTGGTGCGGGTGTGGTGGTCGGCACAGTGGGGCGTGGCGTGGTTAGAGCCTGTTGCCAGTTGTAGTGCGGATACTTCTCACTGTGCGCCTTCTTATGATGCGGCCTCTTGTGATACACGTCCTTGCCACTCTCCGGCAACTGTTGAGTCTGCCAGCTGTCCTTGGCGGACCACAGCTTGGTTGTGGATGGAGCCTTAAGGGGCGTGGGCTGTGCTTCTTTGCTGTAGCTGTTCGCATTGAAGCCTTGGAAGATGGTTGCCTCTATTTTGCGTATCTTGCGATTGCTCAGGTCTTTGGGCGTGGGCGTGGGCGTTGGTCGCTTGGATTTCCTCAGCAAGCGACGTGGCAAAGGAATTGCTGTGGTTTGCGTGGGAGCCCGCGGCTTGGCCCAGGCTCTGAGTCTGAATGTGGTTGTCGATAAGGTGCCATTATTGCTGCTGGTGGGCTTAACGGCGTAAAGCATGTGGGGTATGCGAGCCGATGGCTTGGGGCTGGGTGGGGGCAAGCTCTGAGCCACCTCCTCGGCGGGCAGGACGCACTCGCCTTTGTGCGCGATCTTCCAATCTGTAAAAGTGAGACAGCAGCTGTGAGCAAAATCATTGGTGGTCAAGTCAAATAGAAAAGAACCTACTGCTGTTGGGATCCTTGCAGCGCACACGCTCCAGGTAGCACTCGTTGATGATGGTGTAGCTTATGCCGTTGCGGGTCGCGCAAACCGGGCTGTATTTGCTGGGGCAGGGCTTATCGCAGCGCCGGCAGGGGCCCTCATACAGAATGGTCCAGGCTGTGGAGTAGTTTTAATTACAGTTGCTGGCCAAATCCCCGACGGTTCAGTGCTTACCATTGCCCACCGTTTGACTGTACTCCATCAAAGCGCACACATTGTCGAAAGTGCGACTCTCGCCATTGAAGCTGCCGCAAACGGGTTCATTACTGAACACGCAGGACTTTGAGCTCACGCGTCTGGGTGGCTGCACCTCGTTGGCATAGCCAGGGCGGGATTTCGTTTGGCTGCTGCCATAGATACGCCTAGCTGAGCCCTGGGCTCTATCCGACTGATAGGGCTTGCGGGCGGGCAGCGAGTAACTCTTTTCCATGGTGCCGGAGTTGCTGATGAATTGAGTGTGAAACGTGGAGGGCGCAAAGATTTGCACGGCATCCTCGGCTATCTCGAAGTCGTCCAATTGGTTGACCTGCTTGTAGCTGCGCTTGCTGCGCTCCATCTCCGCCTTGGGCTTCGTCTTGGGCTTCCACTTGCGATTGTGCTTCATCTTGGTGCTGTCCTCGCCGCACAGACCCTCCGACACAATGCGCCAATCTGCAAAAGCGTAACTTGAGCTGCTGTTGGGTCAAGCTGTTATCGTGAGCTTACTTCTGCGGGTGCGTATGTTCTCCGCATTGACCAGACACTCGTTGGAGAAGGTGGACTTCACGCCTGCATAGCTGGCACACACCGGCCTATAGACATTCGTACAGGGTATCGGGCGACGCCGCTTGCGCTGGCCCACGAGCACAGTGTGCGCCGGCTGCTTGGGCGGCTTTTGGCCACGTGGGCAGGCGCCCCACTTGTGCTCCAGCCAATCGGACCTGGTCAGGCAGCTGGTGCGCATCATCTCGCAGCGGTTCCGGAAGCTCTTGCGCTCACCCGTGGCCACGCTCACGCCGCAAACGGGCTGAACGACCGCTTCGCACTCTAGATCACAGCTGGGCAAACAGTTGTGCAAGGCGACATCAACTGCAGGCGGAAGATAGGAGTTGAATATAGAGGCTACAGCTCAAAGCTTCCTTAGTGACTTACACAGTGGGCCGCCCATTAGGTTTTCGCGCTGCGCCTTGCGCAAGTCGCACTCGTTCTTGAACAGCAGATACTCGCCCTGGCTGCGGCCACACATGGGCGTGTTGTCATTCGCGCAGAGCATCGTCTCATGATCCACAGTGGCAGCTGCCGCAGCGAGCACAGCCAGCAGCCAAGCTGCTCGCCCAAATTCTAAGCCCATCCAAGTCATGCTCTTTATGAACTGCAGTACCTAAGTCCAAACTAAATGCAATTGGAGATGCGTTCAGCTCTTTTATACCAAAGCGTGAGACGCGCCGCTGATTAAGAACCAAAAATTGTTGCACTGCAAAGTTGTTGTCAACACGTGATAATCGCAGACGCACAGATGAGATAAGTGCGCAGATAGAAATATGCTAAGCTGTTGTCGTCACATATTGCTTTGAGCTGAGCAAACTTATCTCTGGCTTCATATAACTAGCAGCTGCTACACATTCACTAACGACGGCTCAAGCACAGATTTCAATTAATTTTTTAAATCTATATATATATATATATATATATTATTAATTATTAATTATTAATATTATATTTCAGTTTATAATATATTTTTATGCCTACTTTCAGTCTGTCAATCATCTTTCCTTTAAGTTAACAAATCCTAAGTTTATAATAAAATCAAAAATAAATTAGTTTTCAGGCTCAACAACTTTTCTAATGTGCACAGTTTTAGCGATTGAGAAAAGTTTTAATTTAGTGAATTAGATGTGCTTCGATTGGTCTTTTGCTGTATGAAAATCGAGAATCTCGTTGTGGCTTTTGCTACGTGATTTCTGGCCGATTTTGACAAAGCGGCGCGATTCTAGATAAGACTTGAAACTTGGCATTTGCATTGATTGTGTGGTCGCTGCTGCTGCCTAAAGTTTGTAGCTTGTCTGAGTGGCAACTGTGCAGTGACTATCTTTTCCGCACTTCTACAAACTGATTATTGCGCATTTCGAGCTGCTTATCGCCCCCAATGGCTTTACTCATGCTGCACTTCATGCCGTATCAATAAAGTTGACCACGCTGCAAACTACCTGAACTTAAGCTGAGCTGTCTGTGAGTGTGTGTGTGGGTGTGAGTGTATCTCACTTTTTTAACGTTGAATGAATTTTGCGCAATCGGCAATGGAAATTCTCTAATATCCGGCCGATAAGTGGGCGACGCACATATTCATTCAGCAAAATATGTCGAGTTTTCGCACGCTTGCAGCTGAGATAAGCTTTAATCTGGCTTACCAATATTGCCTTTGAGCCAAGAGGCGTGAATGATAAGCAGATAAAAGAGAAGTGCGAATTAAAGAGTTTTCGATTAGTCTCTCAAGCCTTTGGGCCAATGCTCTCTCTACTCACTCAAAATGGAGTTTTATCAATTTTAAGACGCTCATCACAGGAAATAAAGATAAAATATTCACTTAACGTTTGGGGTAGCCATTTCGATTAAATTAAACAAGCTTTTGGCCTCAACGACTGCGATTATTAATGCGATAAAAGTCGACAAAGCGGGTTTGACTTATTGCCAGCAATAAAAATCACTTGCATATTTGTCAAAGTGATATACTAGTTTGCATAGAGACAAGCATGCAAATGGACGTGCTCTTATCGATTCACTTCGAGGTCCATTTATCTTGAGCTCGATTAAAGCCATCAAATAAAATCATTTGCTGTTGAAGTGCTCAACTGAAAGTTGGGCTCCTTTTGCATGTTAACTTTTGAATTAATATCGAGTTGTTTTAATATCAAATTTGGTTTTGGTTATTTTTTAAATGATGAGCACCAAATGGCTTGGCTCGTCTGGAGCAGAATTTTAAATATATTTATTTATATTGTATATGAAATATTATTTATACTGAGCAGGTATAAAAACAAGGCTTTTCATTTAGCAGTGCCAAAAATGATCGAAGTCACCGAAAAATGTGCTCAAACAACAGAAGTTTGAAATTGATTTTAAGCGATTTCATGGCAACTGAATAAGTTATTCATTAATTGAATAAAGCAACCTGATCGGCGTGTGCTATACAAAAACTTTAACCAAGGCTAAAGCTCTTATAGATTCTGACATCGTCGGCTGCATAACACGAACAGACGGACAAGGCTAGAGCTACTTGGCTGATGATTCTTATCAAAAAAAAAAAAAATTAATATATATATATATATATATAAAAGTCTGCTACTGCTTAGAAATTAAATGGGTTCAGGATAGAGATTTACATATAGCTTAAGATAATCTTGGCTCCATCACAGCCATTATTAAAGTGTAATTACCCAAAGTCTTCATCTGAAGAAAGTTACTATTTAAGGCCTAAACAGTTGTAATCTTGGCAGCCCGATGGTTTTTGGGAACCAACTGCCTGTGGTCAATTGGCTATTCTTAGCAAAAAGGTATTGGGAACTTGGTCGATTTCTGCGTTGACATAATCGTCGGCGAGTCATTACGATTTCGTGCCGAACTGTTGGCAGCTGCTCTTTGCAGGCCATTAGATGGCAGCCATAAGCATCTTTTGAGCGCTAATGGCCAACAATTTGAGAACAGCAACAGAAACGGGCGCAAAATTGCAAAATTTAATAATGCGCGCCTAATGGAAAATACCCGTTTGCTCTCGAATGGGCCGCTTGGAGCTGCAGATCACGAAAAGAAAGCAGCTGTGAGCGTGTGAGCGTTTGCTGAATCTGAGCGCTGAATGCGACGCTTAACTAGGTGAAATGTGTGCGTGTGAGAGAGGGAGAGAAAGAGAGACAGTGGAAGAGCGCGAGTGAGCGGCGATCGTGGCATTGTCTTGGATGGCTACTTGCTTGGCTGCTTGGCTGGTTAGCTGCTGCGGTGTGACTGCGGTCTTTGGCAGCTTTGTTAGAGCAGCGGGAAAAAAACGCAACGCAGTCTAACGACAAGAGCTGAAGCATAAAGACATGCGAGGACGGGTGCAACGGCCACTAGAGTCAGTGAACGCAGCGCATTAAAGCAGAGCAATAAACAAGTAAAGCCAACTCAGAGTTAGATCTACAGATCTGCAGATAGTCAGACTTTAAGACCCAGTGCTAAAACATAGATACAGCTCTTGAGTGCTGGCCCGTGTTGAAGATGGTTGTGCAAAAGGCAGCCACGCCCACACTGCCAGCCGCAGCTGTGGCAGACGGCGCGGACAACTGCTACATGCAGCAGTATCAGAAATATGCCACACACTGCGAGACAGCGGACAGCGGCAACGGCAGCGACCTGGAGAGCAACAGCGGCCCCGTACAGGCCACACTCATACTAACGGACGACAGCGAGGAGAGCGAGCCCTCCTCTTTGAACAGCGACAGCCTCAACTGCAGCAGCACGGAATATGTGCGCCAGGCGGCAGCTAAGCCCAGCGGACAGCTGCGCCAGCGGCACAAATCGCTGCGCATGCTGGGCACGCTGCTGCCGGACTCGCTGCTGCGTGACATACGGGACAGACGCAGTGCGGAGTACGTGGTGCAGTTCACCAGCCCCGCCGAGGTCAAGGACAAGCCGCCAAACCGGCAGCCCAAGGCAGTGTCTATAGCTGAGCCAGAGACGGAGCCAGAGTCGTTGCGCTTGTCGCGCGAGTCGCTCAACGAGGCGAACATCGAGGAGCTGCGTGCGGCGGTGCAGCGGGCCAACTTTGTGCAAACCGGTGAACAGACTCTGCTGGCCGCCACGTCGCAGACGGACAGCAGCAACGGCAATGGCAACAGCAACAGTAACAGCAACAGCAACAGCAACAGCAATCGCTGCAGCAGCAACTACAAATATGCGGACGATCAATACTACAGCTTTCACATAAACGAGCACGAGAACTTCAGGAGCTTTGTGCGGCACGGCGACCAGCGGGACGCGGCAGCTGATGATGAGGAGCACGACGTGTTCGCTGGCTATCGAGATGTGCGCAGCAGCGCCAGCTCCACACAGTCCACAATACGCTCCGCCAAGGGCACGGTGCGCGGAGTTAAGAATCGTGTGCGCAATGGAATAGCCACGTTCTTGCAGCTGCAACAGCAGCCAAATGCTAAGGTAAGTTGTGTAACCAACAGTTTCCCACGCTGCCTTTACACCTCTCTGTGTGTGTGTGTGTGCTTTGCCCTTTATTGAGTCACTTGTTCGCCAAATTATGCAATCGCAGCGCGCGCATCTTGGCAAATTGTTTACCAATTGCACGCTCCATGGGAGAAAGTGCTGCCAAACAATTGCCGTTAGTTGGGCTTGTTGTTGTTGTGGCTCTGCTTGCTGCTGTTGGTTTTCAATATACATTTATATATATAAATGTGTGTGTATCTTTCACATTTGGTATTTATGTCTGGCCGCCTGCTCGTAATCTAATGAGCCACGAGTCTGGCTAACACCATAAACACTGCATCTTTTCTCCTCTCTCTGCGTGTGTGTGTGTGTGGTGTGCGTGCAATTACACACTCACATGTATAATGAATACCGTTAAGTGGCTTATTTTGTTGTCGCTCGCTTGGCTTTGGCTTATTTAGATATCGGTTTTGTGGTGCTTTGGCACCACTCGCTGGTTTGGGCCAGCGGCTTTTTTGCTCTGTCTATTTTCTGTCCATTTGTTTTACTTTTTTTATTTTTTGTTGGTTTTCTTTGCTCCCAGAGAGATAAATGGTTTAGCTTGAGCCGCTGAGCTGCTAATGGCAGCGCTCGGAAATTGTGCAGTTAGAAAACTTCAGCGTACAACAATGGCAACAACTAATCATAGAAAGTCAGCAAAGTTGTTTGAAATTGTCAACATTTTCTTTAAGGCGTGTGCTCAGATCTCATTGTGAACGAAACGAATCAGAAAGTCAATTAATGAAACAAGAGAGTCTCATATAACTGAGATATTACATGTATATATAGATATATACCTCGCTGCTTTGTTGGCCACTGAGATGCCCAAAATGTGCCTATTGCCATTTACCCAGCTCATTCCTGCATGCCATAACCACAATAGCCACGGGAAGGCGCAGATTAAATGGCTTTGCAAACAAGTAGCGCACTTCCGATACGTAACATATCCATATAATTTACTCTAACTGCCTGCCAGCAAAACTTGATTTTCAGTTTAGTTTGCTCAAGAATATTGCAAGGCAAAAATACTCTATGAAATATATTGATAAGAACACAAAGTTTCATAGGCACTTGTAGTCGAAGCGACTGAACTGGCAACTGACAAATATATTTCCACAAAGTCTCCAGGAGGTTGCCTTAAGGCTTAGACAACAGCTTCAAATTTTCTAGTAGTTCCAACAGCATTAGAACGATAAAAATCATTGTTAATGAAAGTGCAAATAAAACTATGATTATATTCATTACAAAGGGCATAAAGTTCTATGAGTTTATAGCACTAGACTAAACATATAACTCACATGCATCACTCATTAATTTGCGGTCATTAAATACTTTTAAATCATTCTTGAAGTCTCACAATTTCGTAAACTAAATGAGACATCTAAATTCTGCAGACTTCAATCATCATATCATTTTTATGTATCAGTGATATTCGTAAACAGTTATTTGAGCATTTTATAACGAGCATAAACCTGTTGGAACTTTCCGTTGCTCTGTAATGAAATAAATGTGTTGTTCAGCCGAATATGTCCATTTTTTGGGGTTTGTTTTTTATGCTCTTTAACTTTTATTATTGAGTTAGTCAGTTGTGCGCATTTCACTTCCACAGAAGACCCGGAAATTTCCCTTTATCTATTTTAATGCTCAGATTTAAGATCAGTTTAATTGTTGCTTTTGTTGCTGCTGCTTTTCACTTTCAAACTTATAGAGCTTGACTCTGGGGGCCTCATGATGAATTTGATGGAATGCTACGAGCTGCAGAGGCGAACAGATCGTCATAAATTAGCTAAATGCCAAAGAAAAGAAATGTGTTTTATGGCTTTATAGCGGCTCACATGCAAATTAGCCAAAACGAAAGAAGTCGAGCTTAAGGCCAACGCGTTGCGATCCTCATCTGCATAACAATCGCAGCGCTCAGATGCTGCTAATTACAATGCAGCCAGCATGCGAGCAACTGGCAGTAGCAACTAGTATGCAGAGCAAACGCTTTGAATCGAAAGTGAAAATCTGTTTGCCATTGTTTTTCTGTTTTGTTGCCTTGTTGATTTGATATTGGTAGCTAGCAGAGCCCTTTGATTTATGCTCTGGACTTGGCAATTGGCTCTAAGCCATGCATAATTAGAGCAAGCTGCTGTCAAATTTGCTGTTGCTGTTGCTGTTGCTGTTGCTGTTGCCACAATTAAAAATCACAATAAAAGCAACAATCAAGTTGTTGCCTTCGTTTTGTCACCTTCGAGAAGGCAGCAACAACAGCTGCGGCTGCGGCTGCGGCTGTCGGCTGTCGGCTGTCAGCATTGGCATTAGCCTCGTATCTGACTCCGCTTGTTGCTCAACTCTTCGATTGCCAATCACTCGAACCGACTGCTGCCTCTTTGCTGGCCATACAAGTGACCTGCTTTCTCTTTTTACCAATTCATGCGGCTGCTGCGGCTGCGTCTTCGTATATGTTGCGGCTGCAGCTTGACATAAACAGAAACAAAATCAAAAAAAGCAAGTAACTGTGCTCTACTCTAGCCAGTGATCCACTAGTGGATACTCTGCAGCCAGTGCAGCGTTTTCACTCCATCATCAGACACGGAAACACTCTTTAGTAACTGTTTCAACTTCTGCTTTTAAGAGCTAACGCCCTCCCTTCGCAGATACTAAAAGTTTTCACTCTCAAATGAACTTGCAGCAACAACCTTTATTCTGTCTGTTCGAAATTGTTGAACGTTTCCAATAGGTTAACCATCGTGTAGATCTGAGTGGATAACGAGAGAGGTGTACACTATACAAAAAGTAACAAAAGAACGCGAATTGGTTGAGTCAAGATATTATATTATTGAGCTGTAAATGGATAAAGGTAAATCTTAAGACAGTTCGGCCAGCTTACAGTCAGAGAGATGTGCAGATTAAGACATAGATAAAAGAGATAGTCTATGAAGACTAGACAGTCCAACATGTTTCCTGATGCCTTTGGTTATATTAAAACTTTACATAGTAAGCTCAATATACCCCTTTCCAGCAACAATGCTTACAGGGTATATGAAACTGTTACTGCCATGAGGTTAGCTGTGCAAATCACGTGTGTTAATTGTTCGTCTTTGTGTTATTTATATTTTTTCGGCAACTCACAAAATCACATCTTAAAGCCGACTGACGACACGAGTTGCAGCTAGCCGAAGCGTTAATCAGGCTCAGCGGGAGCAGTGAATGGCGCGCTGCTGAGGGGTATGGCAGGTGGGTGGGGAGGGTACATCCTCGCATTTTCACCAGGGACACTCGTTGTTGTTGAATGGGAAAAACCGCCTGGCGACATCGCACAGCGACGTTCACCGCGTTGCAAAAGTTGACTTTCCATTTGACCGCAGCTTGTTTTTGTTTTGCTGCAAAGTTTTTGGCTCGAGGCTTTGAACTCTATTTTGTCATGATTTGAGTGAAATATTTTTCGCAATATTCGAGCTATAAATTAAAAAAATTGATTTTCACGCAAAGAGTTGGGAGATAAAAAGTTTGAACTACGAAATATTTATTTTTGTTTTTCACTGTCATTGAAGAGCATGAATATTTGTTTTGGTGATCTGCATTTGTGCTGCCAAATGCTAATTGGAACAGGTCCCACTGCTCTGTGGTCCATCGCATCCCACTTGAGTCGCGTATGTGTTATCAAGTGCACTGGGGTCTAACGGTCTTCGGTCTAATCTCGATTTGAATGCATTTGCCTCTGCGAATTCTCGTTGGACCGGTTTGAAAAGCGGGGGATTAGAGACTTATTTCGGAGTATACCCACGTTCGTGACTGCACTTGTACAGTTCATTGATACCAGTAGTGGCTCGGTTGGCTGGCTGGCTGGCTGGCTGGCTGGAAAGCAGTTCATTAGCCAAAGCAGACGCCACCAAAGTTGGCCAACTAACGGAAATGTTAATTGTCAAATGAAATGAGTGAACCCGAACCGGTTCAGCACCGGCCTTACAAAATAAGCCATCATAAATAGTCGGAAAAACGTCGCATTTCCATTGTGCAAATGTGTGCGTGTGCGTGTGTGTGTGTGTGTGTGCGTGCTTAAGCCACAGCTGCTGTCAATTGGCTAGCAGTTTTTCCATTATTGCTTAATTGAATTGATTAATAGGATTTTGAATAACATGCAGTGTCGTTTGGTTACGTGAGACGCCAAGAGCTAATGAACCCAACAGGTTGTAAACACTTCACAATGCGTCAAAAGAAACTCGTGTCCGAGCCGTCTTTACATTTGGTTTTAACGCATTCCAAAGCCTATTGTCTTTGCTGTTGGTTCTGTCTTCCAGAGATTTCTCCCCTGTTGAAAGCGGAAAATGTCGCTGCATTTTGTGTGGATTATATTTGGTCATGGTAATTGTTTTATACTCCGTTCTTTGCAGCCTCATTTGATCTTCATTTGGTCTCGCCCCATTCGGGCCATGACCAAAGTCTGAGCTCTGTGGCGAATTCTGTGCCAATTTCAAGCATTTTATTTTTAGTGACCCGCTTTTCCTGCCCGGCTAGAGAACTGAAACTAACATTCTAATCTTTTACCTATTCCTACCATTCGCAGTGCTTCATGGAGAAAGACCTGGGCAAGGTAGTGCTCTATACGACCAGCATGGGCGTCATACGAGACACCTACACGAAATGTGCCAATGTCAAGCAGATACTGCGCACTCTGCTGGTCAAGTTCGAGGAGCGGGACGTCTTCATGAGCGTCGAGTATCAGGCTGAGATGCGACAGCGCATGCAGAGCTCACAGATCCGGGTGCCCCAGCTGTATGTGGAGGGCCAGCACATCGGCGATGCTGCGACAGTGGAACGCATGAATGAATCCGGGGAGCTGCGACAGCTGCTGAAGCCCTACAAGACCATTGCCAGCAACTACACCTGCCAGACCTGCGGCGGCTATCGGCTACTGCCGTGCCCCTCGTGCAACGGCTCCAAGAAGTCCGTGCATCGCAATCACTTCACGGCCGAGTTCGTGGCGCTCAAGTGCATGAACTGCGACGAGGTGGGCCTGGTCAAGTGCCACAACTGCTGAGTAGAGAGTTGAGCCTTCGCACCATATCTATATATATACTCATATCTAGCAGCTAAGCGCACTATTTGCATTTTGTATAACCCCTAATCGTAAGCCCAGTTTAACTTAGTCAACAACAACAACAAGAACAAGCATGCAAACATACTAACTAACCACGCCTAGTTCTAAGTAGTAAATAGTTTTGAAAAGGCAAAGTTTGTGTTTTACTGTGACTTCAAATGGATTCTGACTTATATTATAAATATTTTATGGCCAGCAAAGTAATTATATTTTATTAATCGGAGCACGATGTATTAATTCTTTTTTTGTGCAGAATTCATTGAGCTGGGAACATTTCGATCCTCTGTCTCTGATCTGCTTGATGTGTGGACATATGAAGCTATATATTTATATTTGTTCTCAGTTCTCAGCTAAAGATAAACAAATATAAGTTTTCTCAATTATAAAATAAGTGAAATTGGCTCATTTTCAGTTTTATAAAAATATATTCATAAATATTTAAAATTTCCTTAAGCAAATTATTTTTTGGTGCATGAAGTCTTTAAGGATTGACTTTAACTGCTTTAAGTATATTTTTTTCAAAATTGGAATCCGATTATACACTTTGTGTTGGGCCAAGGTATGCACACTCACACACAATACAGTTAACCATGTCTGATTGTGTTTGCAGTCTCTATCTCACTCACTCAAAGCTGCTATCTCTCTCTCTTCATCTATTCCTCTTTGCTTGGCAATTATGTAAACCTGCTCCACCCAGACTCCGCACTGACCGTGCAATTTTCTCGCGCCATTTAATTTCTGCCAGCCTGACCCCCAGCCCCTGGGCCTGAAGGCTTCCTTCTGCAGCTCCAGCTACAGCTTCAGCCTCAGCGTCTGGCGGCCCAGTCGGGCCATTTGCTATTGCCATTTGCTTTTGGTGTCTTTGTTAGTTATTGTTATGGCATTTTTAAATGTTATTTTCCACTTGGCTCACACTTGTGTTTAACATGCCGCCCACACGCACTCTGCCAGCCAGCCAATCTGGCCGGGCCAACTGACCAGGCCAACTGACCCTGGGCCAGTAGCAGCAGCAGCAAACCCTTTACATCAGCGGGTGGCGTTGGTTAAAATTGTTGTGTTTCCGCATTTGCTTGTTGGCGACTGTTGGCACTGCGGCCCGGATCGTTAAATTCACAGGCGGCTACATTGTAATTACCAGGCCGGGCGACCCGTCGAGCGACTGGCCCAAATCCTGAGCCAAGGCAGCTTGATTTATGCGCCAACAGCGACGCCGTCGTCGCCGTCGTCATCGTCGTCATACGCAATTTTTCATAAACAATTTGGCACAATAACACACACAGAATATACCGGTGGGCATGAGGGAGTGGGCGCTTCTACGAGACGGCAGCAGGTGGGTTGGGTGGCTGCCAAAAACCGTGCAATATTAAAATAAATATTGTAAATGCCGGTAATGCGGGCAAACGGTGGCGTATGAGCAGCTTGTGGCCACAGCAGGATTGCCGGGCCTGGCAGGCCTGGCAGGACTCGCAGGACTCGTTCGACTGACAGCTATATGGCAGGCACTGGCTGTAACCGAACCTATACTGCTGCCAGTTAAACCTTTTAAAGGCACACGCCCTTTCGCAGCCTTGTGTTGGAGCTGCCATTGTTAACTTTATCCGCGGTAATTAGTTTATGCGCGCAATTTCATGTGCATTTCGGTCATTAAATATCATTGTTGTTGTTGCTGTGGCTGTTTTTTCCAGCTGCTGTGTGCATAGTTATTATTTTGGCATACTTTCCGGCACCGGCTCCAATATGTACAGCGTACGTCGAAGCTTACAGTTAATGCTGCATACTTTCCGGCGCAGGTGTTTAAGTCCGCGCACTATAAATTGTGTGGTTGGGGTAGGGGGCGGCGCTCCCAATTGGCGACAAATAAAATTAGGAACACATTATGTTTTCGACAAAAACTTTGAAATTGTTTAGCCCCTCCAGCTCCGCCGACCACACTCGGCCATTCGGCGTGCCTTGGAGCTCATTACATTTACTGGGGCTGGGCCACAAATCACGGGCAGCTACTCAACGGATTATTAAGTGAAAATTATGGCACTCCTAAGGCTCATAAAGCATTCACAATGCTCTTGGCCCCGCCAGCAGCGGCGGTTAGTTACATTTTTTATTGTCAAAGCATTGCTGATGTTGTTGCTGTTGCTGCTGCTGCTGGCAGTGCCCTAACCCATTTGGTGTCTGCCATAAAACTAACATAGCTCACATTATGGTACAGCCCAGTCAGCCAGAGACTTTTATGCTTTCACTGTGTGCATAAGTTTTAATCTGCCTTTGTTACAATCCGTTGGCTTCGTTCACTATGTGGTTCAACTGATGATGCTCCTGCTGCTGCTGCTCCAGCTCCTGCTCATGTTGCTGTTGCAGTTGTGGCTATTGCAAAACAAAAGACTACACTGAAGCCCGAATGCTCAATCCCAAGAAGCCAAACGGTGACTAAATGCTTTGTTCAGTTAACTGAGACTGTGGCATCGATAATGGTTGCTTTTGTAACATATCACAGCAAAAGGCATTTTGTAAGATATGTGTGAAATGTTTGGAGTTGGAGTAGCCCTGGGGACACATTTCGCTTTTCTACACTTTCTTTCTTTAGCCCCTCCTTGTCCCTGTCAGTCCCAAGAGATAGTCGGAGTTCTTTTATCTATTCACTAACTCATAAGAAGTTCCTCAGACTAGAAATATTCATTTTATATAAATTATTTATATATATATTCACTCGAAATACAATATTGTTTGATCTCGTTAGTAGTTCTTAATTTTTTAAAAATTTCTTTTCATATTTTTATCTGCCTGTACTTTCTACCATTTTCCTTAGTCCAAAAAGCGAGTTACTCTCAGTAAAGCAACTGTTAAAGTTCTATTATAAAGGAGTCCTCACTATATCCAAGTGGACTTAAGAACAGTCTCAAGTGCCTCAGTGAATAGCATTAAGTTCCTTGCCAAGCTGTGGCTTAGCTTTTTCATTACCTGCCTACTTAGCTTGAATCCCTTCATTCTTGCTGTTTTTACTACTTTTAATTAAAAAAGAAAACACTTTTGCAATTCCTACTATATAAACTATTCTTTAGTATATATTTAGCTCTTATTTTTTCGAAGAACGAACCCATTGATACACATTTTGCCAAGATTTCTGGCAACTTTCTCTGCTATAGTATAAAGTTTTACTTCAATTTGTGTTACCAACATCATTAGCCACTTTTTATACCCTGCACAGGCAGCCAAAAGTGCAAAACAATTCACAACTTGTGCGCAGTAAATAAAATAAGAACAAAGAAAAGAATGGGAAAAGAAGCAGCTAAAAGTAAGTAAACAATTGATTAAAATTTATGCACTTTATCCGCTTGAACCGCACACACAGAGCCGCAGCCACAAGCAATCGAACCGTTTCTATAGAGATATAAGAGACCAGCAGACATACGCTTTTATTGAAACTTTGCCTTTCAACTTATGTGTGTGGGTGTGTGTGTGTGTGTGTGTGTGTGCGGTTGGGTAAACAGCATTTTGATTAAATTATTTTAATAGTAAGTGAGAGATCTATGGCAAATGTATGTATAGTCAACGCCAGAATCCTATCTCCCACATCGCCTCCTCCCACACACACACGAATACCCGCTCTGCGCTACCCTCTCGCCCAGCTGAAGTCAATTAATTCAGCTGCGAACTATTAAAGCACACACCGGGCGCTCATAAATTGAGTTTGAAACGCGACTTGCGAGCAGCCGCACATGAGTCAATTCTCTGAGGGGAGTTGTAAATTAATGAATATTTCATACGTACCCAGATGCAGATGCAGATGCAGATACACACGTTGCTCCTACTCACAGCCTCACCAGCCCTTGGCCAATAAGCCGTTGCTAGCCATTAACCAACTGGTTCGATTGTGTTAGCTTCGTGCCAGCCAGATCTCTCGGAAAGTTTTTTTTTTTCAGATATTTCGCTTGAGTTTGGATTTGGATATGGATTTGGATTTGATTTCAGATTTTGGCAGCGGTGAGATACACCTGCCCGCATGACTGCGCCTCACTCCTTCACCCTCTCAACTCTGCCTTATCTGGCGCTCGCTTTCACTCCACATTTATCTGCTGCTCAGTTTGTCTCTGTTTAGCTCCCTGGCTGACTAGCAAATATTTATTGAACACGATTTGCTCGTTAGGCGAACGTAATATACACACACATCCAAACACAGACACACACACACGCACAGTTTTTTTTTTTGGCTGCTGTTTCGCCTCGCACATTCGTTTTTCACTTTGATTCATTTTGTAGCATTTTTTCAATTTCTTTGTATTGAATACTTTTCTTCATTTTGCCGTCTGCTTTCTTTTCTTATTCTTTTTGCTTTTTTCTTTCTTGTAGCGATTTTTATCTAGGACGCTTCTCAGCTGCCGAACGATTTGTGTGCAAATTTTCCACTGTCATTACGAGCATGTGTGTGTGTGTGTGTATTGCCATAGGTGAGCTAGTTTGATATTTGGCCTAGGCCAGGCTAGCAGCTAGGCCAAAAGAAACAGTTAATAAAATCCCTTGACACGAAGGCGTTTACATAAGCTTTTAGCAAATAATTGAGTGTGCGTGCCTTTGTTGTTGTTGTTGTTGTTGTTGTTGTGGCTGGCACGTGTGCCGTGCCGGGACGAAAATTGTAGGGATTGTGCTCTGCACTGCCATGGCCAGCCACTGCCAGTGGCCAGTGGGCGGGGCCAGGCACCTTTGCGACCAGTGTGCCGGGTTTCGGTTTCATTTCTGTAACTGGAAATTCAATTGAATTGGCAAAAATTGTTGTTTAGATGCCGATTTGCTTGTTTGATTTATGCAAAATGTGTGTGTGGGTGTGCATGGGTATGGAGGCACACACACACACACGGTCATGATGTGTGCCTTGAGATTTGGCCAAACAATCCAGCTCCAAAATTAGCCAACGCTCCAAGCCAGGCGAATATCCGTCCGGCAGTTCATTCCAGAGAGTCTACACTTTTGTGTATTAAACGATATTAGCTGCCAATGGGAGTGGCAGGGGGCGAGTAGGTAACGTAAGAGGCGTAGCCTGGAAGTTGTAACCAAAGCTGGGGCATGCCTAGATTGCCGTTTGCCGATAACTTTCTTGCG